GTTGGGTCCTCCCCCTCCTGGACATCCCCCTCCCCCGTGATGGGACAGAGTTGTTATCGTTCCAGAGGAGCCAAGGTCCACCTGAGGCCCTTGAGCCTGGGCCATGCAGGCATGCACTGCCGCTTGTTCCTGCCTTCTTCCCGGCAGCTTATGAGTCAGGACCACCTCATCCCTAAATCCCCACCCAGATCCCCACACTCCGAGCCCCCAGGCCCCCACCCATTGTTGTCTTTTATGAAGACGGTCCTGGGTTAACCCTCTCAGGATCAAAATAAGTTTTGATAAAAGGATGAACAACTAAGTCCTTCAGGGGTACTTCTGAGTTAAAAAAATGCTCATGAATATGCATGTGGTGTAACCAGGTAGGTAGATTTTAACTGTTGCAAATTTGCAACCCCTGCCTCCAGAGGGTCAAACTCCCACCTGGCAATGTTCAACATTAGCATGTTCTTCCCATGCATGAATGTTTTTTCTCCTTGGAGTCCAGGTCTAACCTACTTCTGTCCTATAGCTGACAGCAGAGTTTTGTGATTATCCTCATGCAACCCTGAAGAAGCAGGTGAATAAAAAGGATGCATCGGTTGGATCTTTAAGGATGTAACTTTCGATTTCTCACAGGTACAGTCAAGCACCAAATTTTGTACAGTAGAAGTTTCCAGATGTAATTTCCTGGCAGTAATATTGTTCATAAATGAGCATGGGTCACCAACTCAAGTCTGCAAATGTCACCTGTCTCTTTCCTCCAGCACACCTGCAGAAATGAACAGCCTTCTGCCGAACTCAACATGTTAAAACTAAAAGGATGGCGGCTCTGGAGGAATGGAGCTGGTGACCCCTGGTTTAAATATTGTCTGATGTAGATCAGGCTTAACATAAAAAAAAACATTTAAGGTTCTGAAGTAAACCCAACACTCATTTTTCCTCTCAGTCTGAAATCAGCAGCTCTGAGAGTACTCCCATGTGAAACATCCGGTTCTGCTGCTGCTGCTGCTGATGTAAACGGCTCAAGTGGCCCGTCAGCAAACAGTGAAGATATCAGATTAAAATGGCAACAAATCACAGCGAATGGGAAGTTTCCCACCACCTCCTGCGTGTCCTGAGAGGAAAAGAGGGCAAATATTGATCGGACGTATAGCGTGTTGCTGTGGAGTCACCCCAGCAGATGTTTTTTCTTGCCTGGTTCCAGCGCCTTGTTTATTTTAAGACCGCTCCTCCGTTCGCTGGAGGTCAAAGGCCTGAGGATGGGTTGAGCGCCGTGAGGGGGAGAGAGTAGCGATGAGTTTTCTTCTGGCTTTGAGGCCAAAGGGCAGCAGGACTAATGAGGAAGGAGCAGAAAGTCATGTGCTAACTCAGAGTTACTCCTCAGGGTTAAATTTTAACCCCTGCTTCAATTTCCTCCACGCTTTAACTAATGCAGTCAACAGACTCTGAAGAACTGTTAAAACCCTCCTCACACTCTCTGTGTACTAAATAAACAGGAAATGCTGCTGGTGTAATTCACCCTCATTAACCTGGTCATATTTATGAAACAAATGCTGCCATGGGTGGGGAACACGCAGCGGACCGCAAACTCTTTCTTCATGTGTTTATCTGTGATCTTCTGATGCAGGAACACAAGCAGGCAGTGAACAAAGGACACGGTCATTCCACTTACCATCTGGCCTCAAAGCCTTTTGTTGATTTGCTGATCTTTCTGTCTTCTGAGTCCACCATAACTGTGATGATCACCATTATTATTATTTAGCAGCAACTGAACAGCTGCTGAATTTCTCAGGCATCAACATTTGGAGGATTTTTAATCGCTTTCCAGAGTCTCATGGTCTAGATGCACCAGGAAGACGACCTAACATGTGAGAATCTGAATCAGCAGGTCAGTGTTTTGAGACAGTGACGTCAAAAACATCAAAATATTTTCAGATAATGATAATATACTGTACTAAAACTGAGTTTTATGTTGTTAACCAACAGGCAGATCTGTATAATTGCTGTGGAGAGACTGTTAAAGTGCTTTACTTCATATAAAAAACAGAAAGGACATTCTAATAGCTGACAGCAGAGTTTTGTGATTATAAAATGGAGTAATATGAATAGAATAGAATAGAATGCCTTTATTGTCACTATACAGGTGTAAAGTGAGATACAGAGCATCTCCTACTCAGTGTAAAACAAACATACTGGTGGGGGGGTTACAGTTCTGCAGCGCTATGTACATATGGACAGTAATGTTCAGTATTGCTGTGTTTTTATTTCATTTTCCTCCACTTTTTGAATGTTTTCTGTAGAACTTGCTTGTTTTCTGAACTTTTATAAACATTTTCTGACATTATTTAGTTTAATATCTGACTATAACGCATATAAGTCTTCCTAGCATGAATATTTAATAGAAAATATTGTTGTGACTCTGCTGAAGAGCCTTAAATCCCAACTCATCATCTTCAGCTTCTCCAAATATTCATCGACCCAAGGAAGCAGGAAGTCAGGATTTATTTGTTTCTGCTTTTTGCAAAAAAAATTCTTATTTATTTACAATTAATATGTTTATGTGATGATTTTACAAAGCAAATATAATCCAAACCAGTGACCCAGGCTGACTACTAATCTCAGTAAGTCTATGATTTTGATTATTAGACAAAAAACTTTATTGACACAAAAACATTACCAACTCAACAAGTGGATTAAATGTTTTAAGATGAATCAGATGTTTTGTTCTGTAGCTAAGTTCAGGTGAGTCTGCTGAATGCTGCCGTTGTTTTGCTCCGACTATTCTGAACTCCTGAGAATGTGCAGACTTCCACCACAGTCGACTTCACGCTGAGAGCAGCTGCATTCCTGACCCGCAGTTCAAAGAGCAACACACACACACACACACACACACACACACACACACACACACACACACACACACACACACACACACACACAAACACACACAAACACACACAAGCACACACACACGCACACATACTGACTTACAGATATGTAAGCTGCACATGTTCTGTTGTTACACAGGAGGGAATATGATCTGACTCTAAACCTGCAAATAAACAAAGCGAGCAGCAAAACTCACGACAACAGGACAGCCAGGGATCTGACCTCTCCTTCACTCAAACTTGTTTTTATCCTGGGAACTTTTTAAAAATCAGACTAAGAAAGGAAAAAAACAAAGTAATGAGAAAGTCTGGACTCACTCATTTCTTAATTAAACTTGAAATAAACTTCTGTTTGGTCTCAAATGAACAAGAACATTTGTAAGATGACCTGATCGACTTTGTTCCCATGATCTGTTCCTTTTTGTGCCAAAGTTTAAACTAATTCCTAAAATTAATCAGGTACCCACCTGTGCAATGCAAAAGGAAAGTGGTAATAATGCTGCTGCAGATTTAAAGTGACAATGTGTAGTTTCTGCCAATAAACTCTGGAAATAGCCATCAAAATGTTGCTGTAAATGTATTAAAAGATGCCCATCCATCCATCCATTGTCTGAACGCGTTTTGTCCACGCAGGGTCGCGGGGGGGCTGGTGCCTATCTCAGCGGTCAATGGCCAATCAGGCGGGGTTAGGGGCTTCACGACTTAAATTTTTTTAAAGTCGACTGTCAAGTAATGAAAATCGAGTCGACTTTGACTAGTCGTTGATGACGTCATACACCTGAAGCGGCGTGTGTGGGGGGGGAGGGGGGGGTCGCTGGAGTTTTTGACAATTAAAATTGCCCCCTCATTTTCAAAGTTAAACACATATCTTTTAACAGCGGTAGTTTCTGCATCTATACTGCTCCACTTCAGCTTTCTCCCCCCTCCCCACGCGCAGTGCGCCTGCATTCTCTCAGAGTTCCTGCTGCTCTAAACATTAAAATAATTATTTCATTTTCTGTTCCTCACTTCTGATGACCTTCAATGGTGTCTGTTTGTTGCAACCACCAGGTACAAAAACTAGCTTGTTTTTATTTGACTATTTTTCTGTCCTGTCTGTTTATTATCTTCCTGCATCTCCTCTCAATCCTAAAGAAAAACTGCTACCTGGGTTCATATATATTCACCTCATGAGTTACCTTTGAACTGCAGTTCTAGAAGATCTACTGACCGCAAAAACAGCGGAGTGCTCGCTGCTTGCCGACCACATCAGTGAGGTGAAGTTATTGGAGGGCAAAACAGGTGATGCACCCCGCTCCACAGCAGCGAAACGCATCAGGCACAAATAAAAGACAGAAAACATCAAAGGAAATGAGCCGACATGAACGATCGCGTGTTTAATTTGTTTTTTAGGTGGCAACAACTAATTTGATGTTACTGTGGCCGTGCTCAGGACGCAGATGTCTGGAGCGCGTCAACGGGCAGAGCTTTGCATGCGCAAGCTGGTTAAGGTTAGGATGGGGGTGAGGGGAAGGTTAAATTGTAAGAGGGTAAACCGTCACAATTTGGTTAAATGTCCGTTTTACGGCGGGCGTCAGTACCGACGCTCTGGCACAGCGCGTTGCCTCCCGATGCGGAGGGGCTCGTCACCTGCTGTCTTTTCCGAGGACTGCATCTTGTCGCTCATTATCACGTGACAGCGACTAGTCGCTGAAAGGCATAAAAAGTCACTACAGAGCAGTGAAGATGACTAGTCGACTACTTCATACAACCCCTAGGCGGGGTACACCCTGGACAAAGTGCCAGTCCGTCGTAGGGCAACACAGAGACACACAGGACAAACAATCATGCACACACGCACACACACCTAAGGACAATTGAGACAGACCAATTAACCTAACAGTCATGTTTTTGGACTGTGGGAGGAAGCCGGAGTACCCGGAGAGAACCCACGCATGCACAGGGAGAACATGCAAACTCCATGCAGAAAGATCCCAGGCTGGGAAGCGAACCCAGGACCTTCTCGCTGCAAGGCAACAGCTGTAACCACTGCACCACTGCACAGCCCAAAAGATGCGCAGTTGTTGAAAAGTTCTAAAAAACATAGAAGCTGGTCTAAGTCTCTGGGCAACGCCATATTGGACGCCATGTTTCTTTCTACAGAAGCCCGTGAGGACAAAACCCATTTAATGATTTGTAACAAATGGTTACAAAACTTTCACCAATAATAAACATTGTTGTTTTACACATTTACCTCTTCACTTGTTGCCAGTGATGAAAGGGAGTCTGGTGTGCTTGTCATTTGGTGTCATGTGCCGGGGTGAGTGCTCCTCTCATTTTTGTTCCATCTTTGAGCTGCTGTGTTTCAGGAGAGGGAGGCTCCAGCTGCAGCTCATTAACAATCAGCGGGCCCAGCTATAAGAGGAGGAGGAGAACACATCTCGACGCCGGATGATTAACTACAACTTGGTAGTTCCAGCCCTTTGTGTCTCCAGGTTAACTCTAGTGATTTTTGGATTTTAGAACCCTTGTGGATACACTTGTGCTTACCTGTTCCCAGGAGTTTTGGATCATTTGTGGACCTTACCTTGACTCCTCAGGATCTCCTTGGACTTCTGAAGCTTCTGGAGCTTCTCTGGTTTTCCTGTGACTCCTCTGATTGACTACTTGAACATTTCCACGATCACGCTGGATTACTCACCTGTGCCCCTTAAATCTCCTGGACACAGCATTCCACCGTTCTCCTCTCCTCCCTGCCGGCCCGCTCTCCTGCTCTCCTCGCGCCCCGTCTCCTGGACACCCCCTCTTGGATTCACCCCGGCACTCCACCTACCCTCCCCAATTCCTCAGCCCCCAGCTTCCCGTAAGTCTTTACTCTGCACCTTCCTAGTTTAGACTTACCTCCCTGGACTCACCTGTTCCTCTGCTCTCCCCTCCTCAGACGCTGCGGTTCCGTTGCAATCCCCACTGGACCTTATCCAGTGCGCCCTCAGTTCCCGATTGTTTTAAATAAAATTCTTTAATTTTTCTAATTGACTCGTGAGTGGTGAATTCTGCATGTCTTGGGTTAAACTTGTCCCCAAAACCACGTCATTTGGCTAGAGGTTGCACTCCCAGAGATTTTTGACCCTAATGGGCATCTGTTGGTAAGATCTTACTTAAACTAAAATAATGCTTGCTTGCAATGATTTAGGTATGTACTGCCCCCTATCGCCAGGGAAAATACACATTGTTACTTTAATAAAGAGGACATATTCTGCTAAGTTCAATTTTTTTGTATGCTTTTGTGCCGCCATGTGGGTCTCTCCTGCTTCTATAAATGCTCCAAACTTTATAAAAATCTGTCCATCCGTTTTCTGTCCCTGCTTGGCTTTAGGAATTATGTGGCTGAAATAAGCTGTGTCAGAAGTCCCCGTTTGTGATGTCACAGATGGGGACTTGACACAAAACACCTCTCACAGGCAAGAGAGAGCTGCTGCTAGAGGGGGAGCAGATATAGGAGCTTCGCTTCCAGATAAAGGAGCTTTTCAGCTTATAGCAGCCAGAGCAGCGGACAGGTGGGCGTGGCCAGTAACAGCTTATTTTCTTAAAGTGACAGAGCCCTGAAACTGTCAAGAACAAAACAGCTGAAATTGCTTGATGTGAGAGGGATTTCATGCAAGGAACTTCATGAGCATGTTTTGCATCGACCATAAGACCATTACAATTTAAGAATAAAGTCACAATACGTCGCCTTTAAACTCTTAGAGTACGTACCGAGATGTCAAATGTTTTATTGTTCGCATTTCAGGAAGGAGTTCTGTCTTCCTAACCAACGGTGCTTTAACTGAAATAACACAAGATAAACTGGACCCAAGGGAACAAAGTGTCTTTCTGATTTGGAAAAATGTGTGTCTGGGCATTCTGTTCCAGGTCAATAAATGCTAAATAAATACATACTTCCAGTAAATTTCTTAACATTTTATTAACGGACATAACATAATTCAGCTAAATTCCCCTTTATATGGAAAGCGTTTACGCAGTCCCATTACACGCTTAAAGTGTGAGCAACAACCAGACTGAGCTCTACAATAAAAGAAGCACAAAGGTCAGGGCTTTAGTAATACACATGCCCCCTGAAGCTTAAAGGAAAGCACTAATTCAACTTACAGCAGCTTAGCCTGGTCTCCGTTAACCTCTTAACCAAACAAAAGGCCTAGCGACCCACAAAGAGACCCGCTGTGATGGATGTAGGTTAACGTTGCTCACATTTAAATAAAAACAACCAAGATCCTCTCTTCCTCACAGCCCATCTGATCAGCTCATTACACCGTTCTCATCCTCGGGCTGGTTTTGGTGACCACAGGAGCAGCGTGTTTTTGTCATTCCGGGGGAATTCCTGTGAAAGCATGTGATGAGTAAACTCCTCCGGGTGCAGGAAGGCTCTTTGAACTAGGCGTGTTTGGAAGCAGCAGTGAATACCTCACTGTGTGTTTTTTCTTTTACGTTTGGAGTCGGTTACTGGAAACCTCAGTTGTTTGTTCTGTCCTCCTCTTTTCATGGAGACCTTCACATGACAAAGCTGTTGAGATGGTCAGGAATTCCATTCCTCAGGAGCTCCTCCGACATGCCAAGACGATGGATGGGCGGGTCAGATACAGCTGAGTGAGGCGGAGACAAGATGTGTGTGTTAGAGCGCTTTAGGTCAGTTAAAGGGGCAGTCTGTCTAAAAGTCTGATGTTGTCATCGTATTCAAACAAGAATGGGGCCTCCAGAAAAGTCTCTACGGATGGATGAAATCCCACATTTCTGACCCAGAAAGTTAGGAAAAGTTGAGAATCGTTCCACGGTTTCGTGTTGGGCCCGGTTGGACCTGACTGTTGAACTGAATTACCACAAAAGAAAAAGACAAATAAACCAAGTTGTAAACATTTGGTATAAGTTCAGATTTCTACGCTCTGGAATTTTGTTTGACGTTTGAGATGTTTCCTACTTTGCAGAAAGAATCAGCGAGTCATCAAAACATATCCTGCTTCACCATCTTTACTCAAACCTCACTGCATTTTTCACAGATTCAACATAACGAGACATAAAATCTAAATTCTTAAACTTTTTTTATGTCAAATTGTGTGTTCTGTGTCAACGCAACACTGGCTCACCCCTTGAGTTAGGTGTCAAGGTTCAACCTCAACCAAAACATATAATAAATCACCAAACTCAAGTTTTAAAATCTTTAAAACGATCTGGGGAACCGTTTTTAAACGAGAGAGTGTGGGTTGTTGGAAACAAAATATAAAAGAATCAGAAATTGGGAGTTTTTCACAGAACTGTTCAAAGTCTACAAACTCAAGCTAGTAATAGTTAATAAATCTACCACTGCCTCATGTGACGGATTAACTCCTATAAAAATGTCACATAAGTGATATTTTCTCTGCATGAGTCTTTATTTACAGTCATCAACACGTTGTTGAGCCTTTAGGCTCAAAACATTTGTAAAAATCATCATAAACACAAATCGTTGAGTCTCTTTTCTCAGAAAGTGTGTGTGTGTGTGTGTGTGTGTGTGTGTGTGTGTGTGTGTGTGTGTGTGTGTGTGTGTGTGTGTGTGTGTGTGTGTGTGTGTGTGTGTGTGTGTGTGTGTGTGTGTGTGTGTGTGTGTGTGTGTGTGTGTGTGTGTGTGAGAGAGAGAGAGAGAGAGAGAGAGGCAGGTGTGAAAAGGAGAAGGCAGCGTATCATATAACCTTTTGACAAGTTGCTCAACAACAACAGGCGCTGCCTGTTATTATTGGGTCAACAGAGCGGGAGGAGGTCTTTGGGATTAGAGCGGAGTTGAGAACATGAGTGTGATTTCCAAGCTCTCAGCCCCCCCACCCCACACACACACAAACACACACCTCCTTCTTTGTCTTACGGCAGAGTTGAGGTTAACTCCCCCGTGCTCCTAGGCTGGCCCTAGGTCAGGGGGAAAGCAGGCAGCCAGTCAGGCAGCCCGGCATTCTTCCTGACTGTGTGTGTGTGCGTGCGTGTGTGCGTGCGTACGTGCGTGTGTGTGTGTGTGTGTGTGTGTGTGTGTGTGTGTGTGTGTGGCTGCAGCCCACTCTGTGCTCTTTGACTCCACTGGCCTTATAAGGCATCCAGCGCCATGGCAACAGCAGGGCTTGAATAGCAGTGTCAAATCCCTCAGCACACAGACACACGCTCACTCTCCCTGAAGGAGGGAGCAAAGCAGAGAAAGAGGAGGCTATCTGTGGGCTGCTGCAGCGTCTGGCTTTCACTAAAAAAGCTCAGCGACTGTGTTTTCTCTGCTTGTTTGCCTAATTTATTCCTGCCCGGGCCAGCTGAAGGAACGGCAAAAGAGGGAAACAAAAACAAGCTGGATGGTAAAGAGTGTAACAACACTCTCAGAGCCTCTGACAGAAGGCTGGAGCTGCCGGGCGGACAAGCTGACAAAACAAGAAATGGGAAAGAGAGACGCGACTTTGTGAGGCTTTGGAAGAGGAGAGGCCGCTGAGACTGAGGAGATTTCTCAACTCTGCCTTTATTTTGGTTTGTTGTTCCTGTGACATTTGATCCTCTGACCCCTCTGGCTTTGAAGGAGTTGGAGTTACCACAAGAAAACAGACTCTGGTCACAGAGGGCAGACCAAGAGGACGTCTTTGATGCTGGTGGTGGTTCTGAGCTGCAGGAATCACTCAAGAGTTTCTTCTCAGGACTACAAGAAGAACACCCAGAAACTTTGCCACGTGCAAACCAGCCTTTTAAGAAGAAAACACACAGATTTTTCCTTTTTATCACCATCACTCCGGCATTTCTAAAAGCCTCAACAAGTCAAGAGTGAGTCTGGACTAGAACCACCTCAGATCAGAAGATAGCACCTCAGCACAGCAGGAACTGGTTGGACTAGTTTATAAGTTGGAGGAAAGGGCAGGGCAGTTTAACCCCGTCTAAAGGAGAGCTGTTTTATTTTCCTCTCGCCTGCTTGTCCTTTGGAGAGGAAGTGGTGAGCTGAAATAAAGAAGAGGAGTCTTTCTTCCACCAGGAGAGCCTCAGTTCTCTGTCTCCATCATACTGAAGGGCTGCTGAGGCAGATTTCTTTCCTTTCTTTGAGGAAGACGGAGAAAGAAAGTGAGAGAGGAAGAGAAAGAAGAAGAAGAAGGAGTCAAAGTGTAATTTATTGTTTCCTGTGAAAAGAGCAGAGCTGCGTCCTTTTCTCTCCTGCCTGAACTCTGAACCACTTGATGTGCATCTGAAGTTTTCTCAGAGCTCGAGAGCCATTGATCAGAGGTCAGGGCAGAAAGCAGAGCCGAGAACAGAGAGCAGCGGGATTAAAGAAGAGAGAGAGAAAAAAGCAGTGGAAGGACCTCCGGGTCAGCCCAGCCAGACAGCAGAGAGGGGAAAGGTCACCGCAGGCGGATCGGGGACCAGTTCTCCATCTACTTTTAAATTTTATTGGATGAAGCTTGCTTTGGGACCAAAGCTGGTGTGAAGGTCTGGAATCAGTTCTTTAAACCTCTGAGGGTGGTGGTGGAGGGGGTGAAGCCGGGGGGACAGGACAGGTCTGTGTATGGTCCACTCACAGGGCTGGGTGTCTCAGAAAATATGGCCATGGTGAGCGGGGGATGGGGGAACCCCAACGGGGACACCAACGGGCTGGGGGACAAGGCTTACCTGAAGAGGGAGGACGAGGACGGGTCGCCCCAGGCTGGGAGCAGCGACGTGGACGTCGGGGACGAGGACAAGGCCTGCGTGGTGGACTGTGTGGTGTGTGGGGACAAGTCCAGCGGGAAACACTACGGTGTGTTCACCTGCGAGGGCTGCAAGAGCTTCTTCAAGAGGAGCATCAGGAGGAACCTCAACTACTCCTGCAGGTAGCTGCAGGGACATTTCTTCAGCATTCATCGAGGTTTTTGATGTTTTCTCATAAATGTTATTTATGTGTTTTTATTTGAGCATTTAGATAAATACAGATTTAACCAAATCTCCCAGTTTTTTTCCCCCCACTATTTGAATATTTTATAGTGGCAAAAAAGCAAATCATTAATGGGGGAAGTGAAAGGATTTCTACGCTCTTTCATGGTTAGTGACGTGCACGAACGAAGCAGTAGATAAACACATTTTTCACTGAGGAATGATATCTCCCAATCTGGGTTTCATCCCTCAAACAGACAAAACAACAAAAGCAGCCAGAAATGAAGCCCTGAAGGTTCGTCATGTGAGGATGGATTACCTCAGAAGGTCAACACTCCCATTATCCTTCACCGCCCCGCTCTCTGCTACTTGTTTATTTCACATAAAAATTGCATTAACTCCCGGTAGAAAACACACCTTTTTTTTTTTTTTTTTTTTCCTTTTCCTACATCTGAGCCTGAGAACGGCTCTCTGTAGGCAGAACTCATCTGGCTGTAAAAAGCAGCACAAGGGTGTGTAACGCTGATAATTTACAAAGGTCACAGTCTCTGTAGCTTTTCAGCCATGCTGGTTCAGGCAGTTCACCCATAACTTGTGTGTTTGTGTGTGTCGGGGGGGGGGGGCTTCACTACCTCACTAGAGGTTTTAAGATCTTTGAGGGTGAATCAGAGTTTGGATGAAATTGATTTTTTTTCTCTTTTTTATTTTGCAGGTCAAACAGAGAATGCCAGATCGATCAGCACCACCGTAACCAGTGTCAGTACTGTCGTCTGAAGAAATGTTTCCGAGTCGGGATGCGCAAAGAAGGTATCAGAGTCTCACAAACCTGCAACCTGACAGCTCCTCGTCCCTGGCTTTTAAATCGAGCTGCAGGACTTGCTGCAAACTCAAATGATGTCACCTTCTTTTCTATTGTTGAGGGACTTTATTTAAAAACCAAATTAGTCATTTTTTTAACTTTACTGTTTGTTTTATTCCCTTAATTATCCTGCAAAACCCACTTTTATACAAATTAAACCGCAGACAAACTCAGTGAGACAGAATGCTCTTTATGACCCATTTGTCACAAATGCAGACATTTCACAGCTGAATAACTTGTGAAACAATAAGTTCTGTCCTGTAGCACAGTGGTTCCATGAGCTGGGGTCGGGACCTCCTAACCCTAACCCTATCTGGGGTCACGTGATCCAACAGCTGATGGATGTTTTGTGAATGCACCTAAATTAGGTCTTAAAACAAAGCTGACATTTGCCAGCCATCCCAGCACAATATTTATACTGTCAACCAGAGCGTGTTTTCACTCTGCTGCTTGAATTCCTGCAGAGCCGCAGGGCAACTCAGAGACTGATGACCAAACAGGAAAAACAAGAACGTGCATGATGATTAAACTGAATTTATTCAGCTTCATCCACCAAAAACACTATAGTACACTATCTGTGTTGTGTCTACAGGTGACATTAAACCTTGTTTGGATAAATAATCACTTAAACATCCACTCTAATTTCATTTGACTTCAAACTGACTCACGTGGAGGTGCAGCATGAGCCTGGTTGTAACTCACCTGGTGTCACATGGACATCAGGAGCTCTGCCACGCATAGTCTGGGTCTGCAGCAAACGCGTCCGATTATTAATGATCTGTAACGGCTAAAGTCATGACGCAGGTGGAGCAGGTTCCACATTACCTGAAAGTGTGTGCTTCACCTCTGACCCAGTCAGCTTTCAGTCTGAAGAGCTGCAGCTCCAAACAGAAGCTGCTTAACCTGAGGATGGCAGTCCCTCTCTGTCTCAGGTTGGTTTTTAATCTCATTAGGAGGTCTCACTGTTAATTATCACAACGTTTACCTAAAGCGGACTGAGCAGACTCTCAGGAACAAACATGTTCACTTTATTTTTGCACATTTTGGAGCCAAGAGCATTTATCGTTGTTTGCATAAATGACAGATGAGATGTTACTTGACACTGAATCTAGGAGAAAACAAAATATGTTGAAATATGATAAATTGGTAAAGGTTAGAGTGGATCAACTGTTGGCGAAAATGTGGGAGGAAGTAGAATCAGTTAAAATATCTTCTGTAACAATGAAAGAACCTTAATTTTGTTTATTTTCTGTAAATATTTTGGAACATTTGTATTAATCTTATTCTAATTAATTTCTAGGTTTAATCCGAGTTATACAGTAATCTGATGGAAGATTTAAATAAGGTTTTATGGTATTTTGCTGAATTTAAAGCTAAATAAAGCAACTATAACTGCTCTCTAAACCCACATTAGGTCTGATTCAGTTTTCTAATTTCACATTTATGTAAACATTGACGTTTCAGATTATATACTTTTAATAAATACTTACATTTTACTCCTACTTTACTATATGGATGTAATTCTCTCATGAAAAACTGCCAGAACGACTCTGCTGAAACCAAGTTTGCTTTGATGTCAGTGATTAAAATTCTCTATAAGGTAAAAGTTTAAGTGAATTTGTTTCAGCTGAGATCCTTTTACCCTTTTAATGATCGCGGACACATTTTAGTCCTTGTTGGACAATGAACGGAAAAAATGTATTCAAAAAATTCTGAATGTTTAAAGAACTTAAATGTAATTTCCTGAAATAATAATAATAATAATTATTATTATTATTATTATTATTTTTATTATTATTATTATCATTAACTTGAAATTTCTCCTTAAACAGCTTTTTTGTGTGTACATCTTTTTATTTCCTCCAGTTATTTTTAGATCTGTGGACCTTGGAGACTTTAATAAAAACATAAGTTCCAAGAAACTTTGAAGATTTAGCTGTTAAAGTGTTTTTCACTAAAAAATAACTAAAACCCAGCTCATCTAAGTCAACAGAACCAAGTTGAAGAGAAAATAAAATATAATTTCAAAAGAAGCTGATTGAACCCATAACCTCCTGAGACCCAGCTGTTCATTTTGGTCTGCTGTAGACATTTAAGTTTTCACGCTGCACGTGCCACTCTGGATGGGAGGACACCTGTAGCTTTAAAATGATGTCACGTTTATGGGGGTGTGGCCTTAGCAACTTTCATTCTTTGGTCTTTTCAAAATGGCCAACCTCCCCCAGAAAAGGAAAGGCAAGAATAACATTTGTATTAAAATATCATCTAATCATTTAGATTATTTTTTTACAAAACAAACATCAGATATGTCATTTGAGTTAGTTTTCAGAACTAAGTTAATTTATTTTTACAGGAAAAGTGGTGGTCATTTCACTAATGTGCACATCAGGGCTTTTCAGTAGATTCTTGTAGAAAAAGGCAGAAATAATTCTCAGCATAATAATTCTGCAAGATTCAGACAAAGATGTTTCAGAAGATTAGAGTCCAGAAAGGCAGGCGTGTGTGAGAACAGAACCATCTGGGCCAAAAGCATCATGAAGGAGTCTGACTTTTGTGTTTTGAGCCAAACATAAATGTATTTGTGTTTAATGATCTCAGATATCAAGTGAAATGTGCAAATTGCATTTTAGGGATGTCTTTTAATGACCCAGCTTTTACATAACACACACATGTTATACATCAAACTCTTCAGCTACTTATCCTCTCTCTCAACATGTCAAAATATGACAGATCTGAGCAGAAACTGAAAAATCTTCACCCAAAGCATAATTTTCTTATCTGAATATCTTTATAAATGTGTTATCACCATAGCTGCAATAAACTGAAATAGAAAAAATGGATTAAACATGTGTTAGTGTCACGCTTTGGGAGAAGCGTGTCGTGCGCTCTGCTGAGAAGGTCTGAGAGACTCCCCTCCATACAGGACCTGTACACCTCCAGGACATTGATGTGTGCAGGTTGGTTCACAGCAGACCCATCTCACCCTGGACACTGTCTCTTTGACTCGCTCCCATCTGGCAGGAGGTCCCAATCCATTCGGACCAGAATCGTAGACCTGCCCACTTGTTTCAGTCACCTGACCCGGATGTTGTGTTTGCACCTGAACTGTTCTGCTCTGACCAGTACCTACAGCTGCTTCTCTAATTATTGCCTCCCTATATTATTATTATTTCATTGTGTTTATTTCTTGATTCAGTTTTTGCTTATCGTTTATTCTCTCTTACACCAAGTACCGCAGCAGTTTCCTAATGTTGATTTTCACACATGTGGCAATAAAACCCTTTTGATGCTGAATGTGATTCAGCTGCTGCTGCAGACAAATGGAAGGGGGCACTTTTCCTGTTACTAACTTAAATAGAAGTAGTTGTCATTTTGCTCAAAATGTTTAAAAGCATTCATGATAGGTGATGTAATAGTAACCTAAAATGTTTTATTTATTCATTTTTTAGGTATATATCGGTATCGGTATCAGAAATTAGGAATCAGATGATATTGGTATATCAGATATTGATGCAACAGCCAATATCAAGCATCACTAGTTTTGCTAAATTAATTAAACAATAACAAAACACGAAATTAAAGTCAAGAGAATTTGTAATGCTGTTTTTACCACCCTAAGACTTTATTTAGAAAATCATGTTTACCTGGACTGAACTGGTGTGTTTCTCTGCAGCCGTCCAGCGAGGTCGAATCCCACCGTCTCACTCAGGTATCAGTCCAAACTCCCTCTCTGGAGTGGTCGGACCAGCAGGTCCAGGCCCCGTTGGGGCAGACTACTTTAATGGACAACCGGTGTCAGAACTCATCTCTCAGCTCCTCCGGGCCGAGCCGTATCCCAGCAACCGCTATGGTACCCCCTACCCTCAGCAGATGCAGGCGTCGGCGAGTGGAGCCTCAGTCATGGGCATCGACAGCATCTGTGAGCTGGCCGCACGTCTTCTTTTTAGCACCATCGAGTGGGCCAGAAACATCCCATACTTCCCAGAACTCCCAGTTTCAGAGCAGGTTGGTCAAAAGAGTCCATATTTAAAACTTTTAATCTTCAAATTAAAGTTAAAAGTTCATCATGGGTTCAGTTTTTAGCCCAGAGTGAAACCAGAGAATCAAAGGGTGGTCTGTGAAGGACTGTAACAGCATAACTGAAAACAGATGACAACACAGCGTGGTCTTTATTACACCCTACAGGTGGCGCTGCTGAGACTGAGCTGGAGTGAGCTGTTCATCCTAAATGCAGCTCAGTCTGCTCTACCTCTGCACATGGCTCCTCTACTGGCAGCAGCTGGGTTCCACTCCTCTCCCATGTCTGCAGAGCGGGTTGTCTCCTTCATGGATCAGGTCCGGGTTTTCCAGGACCAGGTGGACAAGCTGAACCGGCTGCAGGTGGACTCAGCTGAGTACAGCTGCCTTAAAGCCATAGCACTCTTTTCTCCTGGTGAGTTCTAGTGGGCCTTCCTCGCAGGAAAAACCCAAAACACAGCAGTCAGTTGGAAGTTTTTAAACCCTGTCAGCTCCAGGAATCCGTTGATTCTGGGTTTGACCTTAATGAAAGGAGGGAAACGATAGAAAATCTTCTTTGAACCAAAAGATTTGGCATCAGAAGATTATTAGCAAACCCAAAGCCTAAGAATGTAATGGTTTAGCAGGAAAATGGACATCTGGGGGGGGGGGGGGGGGGGGGGGGGGTATGAATAAATACCACATTTAAACTGCCCCGAAGCTTACAAAAGTGTAATAGCTCATTTGTTTTTAAGTTAAAGGAGCAATATGTAAGAATGAAATAGGGATGACATCCTTTAGTGAAATTTGGTTGCTGCAGGTGATTTTCTGTGTTAAAAGTGGCTCTCACTGCCGTTCCGTGGGTTTCATGGCTGGTGCCAGTTACAGATCAGCGCCAGAAGATTCTAGATGACAAACAAAGACGAGTGAATTGATAAGTAGATAAATGCATTGTAATAACTGGTGCTAGCACTTTTGGGTGTTTAACGTAGGGAGCATTTACTACATTCATTACAGTAGTTTGCCTCCCCTAACCCTTCTTGCTGTTAGCTTGCTGTTATAGCTCTGAACGACTCATTAAAGGAAGTAAAACTCCACAATTGACTCATCATTCACTTCACACGCACATTTCACCGTAATATCGAGTTGTTGATAATTGAAAAAGTAGCATGAGATATTTTTATAGCCGACTGTTTGCTTCTGTCTTTAACCGATGTTAGAGTAAAACAAAAAGAAGTGGTGGCTTCTTGGAAATACAAGATATAACTTCTGGGTCACTCCTGTTTACTGGCTTTGGGTCTTTGAACAACTCTGGAGCTTTTTGCCTGCTGGTGTCGAATTACAAATGCAGGCGCTGCAACAATAGCTTGCCAGACACATGACAAACTCACAGATTGTAACTGACAAACCCCTGAAAAGGAAATCTGTTTCAATGTAACCTTCCTTCCATCGGGATTGAGATCTTAGACTGTTTTGTGATAATTTCACTGTAGAATTCTGACATATTGCTCCATTAATCTTCCCAAATGTGATAAAAACAACTACATGCACTACCACTTGGATTATATCTACTGCTCCTCCAAGTTAAGAGAGCCAGTTGTGGTGGCTCAGACATCTGGTTAGGATGCCTTCCTGGGGAGGTTTTTTGGCCATATCCAAATGGGAAGAGACCTAAAGAGAGACCCAGCACACGCCGGAGGGCCTTATGTCTCTCAGCTGGCCAGGGAACACCTTGGGATTCCCCCGGAGGAGCTGGCCCAAGTGGCTGGGGAGAGGGAAGTCTGGGCCTCAGGCTGCTGCCCCCACACACTACCTCAAAATAGCAGCAGATTTATTTTGGAAATCACATAAAGAAATAATGAAGCAGAATCAGAGGATTTGATATTAGTGCTTCCCTGTGTTGCAGATGCATGCGGTCTGACAGACCCAGCCCATGTGGAGTCCCTGCAGGAGAAAGCCCAGGTCGCCCTGACCGAGTACGAGAGGCTGCAGTACCCCAACCAGCCTCAGCGCTTTGGCCGCTTGCTGCTGCGCCTCCCGGCTCTGCGCGCCGTGCCAGCTAACCTCATCTCCCAGCTCTTCTTCATGAGATTGGTGGGCAAGACGCCGATCGAGACGCTGATCCGAGACATGCAACTATCAGGGAGCTCCATCAGTTGGCCCTATGCCCCGGGACAGTAACACCCCCCCATACACCCTGCTATCTCAGGGCCTCAGGGGGAGACAGACTATGAGATCAGGTTTTCAAGGAATCCGAGTTCCCAGAAAGTATCTGAATGTCATAAATGCTGTTTTATGTTTTTAAAGTCCCAGTTTGGGACACTTCTCTCCAGTTTTGATAGAAAACGTTTGCAGCTCTGCTCTGACTTTTGGCCGATCTCGCTCTTTGGTCGTCTCGCTCTGAGTAAACAGGGCTTTCATTAAAACACGCGCTCACATGAGGTCATGTGCCTCTTCTACCTCCTCCCATATGACCCTGAATGTGACTCCCGTTTGAACCCAGGCTTTGTGTGCTCTTCCTGTTTTGTTGTGTCGTCCAAAATGATGCTGTAGCAGCCACGAGCGCTCCACCAGGCAGTGCAGACCACCTTCTGAATGTCATGAACTCAGTTTGAGTGAACACAGATGTCATTTCTTTGTAATCAGACTGCAGGGATGGGCAAGTATTAAAATATGCCCTGGTGTTCAGCCAGTCACATCCCTGTAGAACATTATTACCTCATGTTTTCTACATCTGAATCAGAGATTGTACAACAAACTACTCGTGTACATAAAGGGATTAACCCAAACTGAAGGCTTAACTGTTTAAAAAGGTTCGTAAAATGTAAAGTTTGATGGGAGAAAACACAGTGATGAATTTCTGCTGCCTGGACTCTGTTTCTTTTATAAAAGTGAACTTTTTTCTTGTTTCTGTACCTTTTAAAACTCTTGACGGATGGAAATCAAGTTATATAACGACTATCTGATGTCCTCTGATGTTTAGGAGTATAAGTGTGTATGGAGGTAAAGGTACTTAATGGTTCCTGAGAGTTGCCATAAACTGCATCATCATGTTATACTAAATTGCCAAAATTGTTTACTGAAACAATTTGATGAACAAGTTTATGGTATGAATGAATTATCAGATGTTTTATGGGCAAAATAATGATAAGGAAAGAATGGCCCAGATCCCTAATGCTGGCATCACTTTTTGTTCATTTGTTGAAAATTTAACTTTAGTGATTTGAATGTGTAGCTTCAAGTGTAAATTCATGTTTTTAACTACACCAAAACTAAAAAAGACAAAACATATGTCTCTGTCTGAGTCATTATTTTAGATTGATGTAATGTTAATTTGCTTTTATCAGTGGTTAAACAGCACAGAAAGTAAAACAATGATTTTATTATTCTTTACATTTTACCATCCCGGATCAGCGTCCTGATATTTGCAAAACAAATATCTTACTTAAGATCTTTGCTGACTCATGCTGCAGTAAACAAAATGTGATTTATTTACTGTTGTACAAAGAAAAACATTAATGTTTAACCACTTACTAGACGATTAATTTAATTAGGTCAAGAATTCATATTTAGATCAATTTTCATTCATATTTAAAGGATTTGTTAGAGTTTAAAGTGAAATTTCTATGTTTGAAGTTCATCATATGAACCCACTTAAAGCTGGTTTTGCAAGAATAAAATAAAACTGTCAAAATGCATTTTGTTGTGAACTAAAACACCTTTAAAAAACTGCTTATATTCAGTGATCTGAGACAAAAACACCATTACTGACGTCTGATCCAGTCAGTAAAGTATAAAACCAACCAACAGAGGGCAGCACCAGTTTGCATTGGTGTCGCTGGGATCGCTTCTGGCAGAAAGCCTTCTTGCTCCCCCTGCTGGACGCTCTCTGTAGGTGCAGATTCTCTCTTTTCCAAACTAACAAACCGACGCCTTTGCTGAGAATTAGAGAAGTTTATTATGTGCTAAATTAATAATTTTAGACAACCTAATTTATGGAAGAAGTGTACAGTTACAAAAATGTTTTTTATGATAGCAACAAAGAAAATAAAATTCTTACAAAAATAAATGGCTCACCAAAGGTTTGTAAAATGACAATAAAACTCTTTAAAAACACAAAAGCTTAACAAATCATAAGCTGGACTACGTTTTTTTCGTTGAATTTACATTAGATGTATTTGTGCTTGTGACTGATCAATACAAAATTAGAGCATAATTCTAATTACTGTGTTCATGACAAAGAATTTTAAACACAGCTTGATTAAATCTAAGCATTTTTTTCAGACCGATCAGAAGTCATTAGTACCAACTATGATCATGACTGCTCTGACAGAACAAGCTGGGGTTTGATCTTTGTATGAGACCATTTAGAACGTGTACAGTACAACAAAATACATCTCATTGGCCAGTTTATCTCATGTTTGGTCTCCTTTCTATGACAACCAGTGTAAAAGTCTTAAGAGTACACAAAAACAAAACAGTACATTTTCCCATCAGGAGGCAGCTAGCTCTCTGGTGGTTAAGGTAGTTGCAAATACTGATGCTCATGTAAAAAGAAAAAAGAAGCTAAAGTACTTTTGCGACGAAGCAAAACACATCAGCGTACTTGCTGACGAGCGAACTCCTTCACGTTTCTCATTCATAACTACATTCCCGTTGATCCTGCTCCACCTCGGATCTGAGCAGATAAAACAAAAACCTGGTGTTATGTCCTCTTCCAGTCCCCTCTGTAGGTGGACACTTTGGAGACAGAACGCAACAGAAGTGGGGGTTCAATGTGAGCGAAAGCACATCTAGATGGTCATTTTTAACACGTTCCCCCACGTGTTTGTTTTTAATGTTCGCCGTATTCTCATGTGTCTGCTGTAACTTTGGTCTCAGCTGGTCACAGTCTTTGCTGTTTAGTGGAGTGTGTTGGCCGACGTGGGTCTCAGCAGCGTGACCCGCTGAACAGGACGCAGAACAGCACGGCTCCTTTAGTGGGTCTTATCGTAGTCCTTCACCATGCGCTTGATGTGGAACAGTTTGTGTCTCAGCCTGCGGCACTCTCTCTTCTTCGACTGGTATTCTGATGTCTGCAGAGCACAAACAACATGGGAGTAACACATTACACGTTGGATCTTTGACCTAAAACCATAATTACAACTTCAAGCATGAAAAAAGTTATTTGCAGAGTGAATTTAGAAAGTCAGAAACACCTCTCACCTGCTTCAGATCTTTCAGTTGGTTGTATTCTTCTGCAACAGCCTGATAAAAGCACAGCAAACTCATATTAACTCCTTCACACATATATGCACACAAGCTGAATATTTAAGCGTCACTCTGCCGTGCAAACACTTATTAGATCGGCTGCAGGTCTCTTTTATGTACAAAGTATTAAAGACTGTGAAGATTGTGTCCAGCAGCAGAGATAAGAGAGAAGGACTGAGATACTTCTAGAACATCTAGAGAAACTAAATTACCAGATTAAATACATCCCTGACACAAAGTCCGACATGATAAAGGAATCAAAACAGATGGACTCCTTTTGCGCTGCCTAAGATCTTTAAATACACTTCTCAGCTTCCTGGATTGAAACATTGGTTTCATTTTTGATCATTTATACTGGCGCAGATGCAGATAAAATATTAAAAAGAGGCCTTTTATCTCTGAGGTATTTGATTAGCTGAAGACAAATGTGATCAAATAATCTGGAAACTGACATATTTTCCTTGTTGATGAAGGTCAAACAAACTTCTAGCTGAATCTTTTCTGGGAAATTAAAACAGTAAACAAGTAAACACAAATAGAAATACCTCATCTAATAAAAAAAAGTATGGCAAAAACATTTTAGAAGTAGAATTTTTTATTTTTTAGACCCAAGCTTTTGCTTTATGTTCATTTTTAATTTCAACAAGCTTTTTGTGTCATCCAGCTTCATTATGGCAGGAAGTTAAAGGTCTGGAACACTCGCTTGATCACTACATGTGCAGTGGTCTCTAGTAGGAATTAATGCTCGGTGGTGGGCTCACTGGTGCAACATTTCCAGGAACTAGAAGTGAACCACGTCACAGCTGTGCTTCAGATGGCAGGTTTAGGAGTCTTATTTCCTGATATTTGGACATCTCACCTCTGATTGGATGACAGCAACACGACTACCACTTGCAACGTGGATGTTTTATTTCCACACACGCCTTGAGGAGCTTCTGCTGTGTGGTGGAGTTGCTAATGCTAACGGTTAGCTTCTACTAGTTGAGACGTCCTCTACTGTTTCCTGGACTCTAAACCAACAACAGCTTTCCCCGTTGTGAGTCAAGATGGGTGAGTCCATGAGTGTTCAGTGACATGGTGACGTTGATCTGTGAGGATTTTCTATCAGAAGCTAATGGAGGAGATAGGTGTAGGAAACTGTTTTCATGTTCAGCCTGCATTAAAACCAGAGTAACCTATATACACAGTGGGTATGGAAAATATTCAGACCCCCGTCAAATTTTCACTGTTTTTTTTATGTAGCCATTTGCTAAAATCAATTCAATTCATTTTTTTTTCCTTATTAATGTCCACACAGCACCCCATTGTTGCATTCCTTGATTGCAACCAGTCATCCTGACCCTGCAGCTAAAAATCACCCCCACAGCATGATGCTGCCACCGCCATGCTTCACTGTGGGGACTGAAATGGACAAGTGATGAGAAGTGCCCGTTTTTTCCGCTCATACCGCTTAGAATTAAGACCAAAAAGGTCTATCTTGGGCTCATCAGACCAGAGAATCTTATTTCTCACCATCTCTGGGTCCTTCAGGTGTCTTTTAACAAACTCTATGCGGGCTTTCATGTGTCTTGCACTGAGGAGAGGCTTCCGACGGGCCACTCTGCTATAAAGCCCTGACTGGTGGAGCTCTTCAGGCAGTTCTTTTGACCTTATTCTCATTTGTTGACAAGCACTGTGAGCTGTAAGGTCCGATATAGACAGGTGTGTGGCTTTCCTAATCAAGTCCAATCAGTAGAATCAAACATAGCTGGACTCTGATGAAGGTGTAGGACCATCTCAAGGATGATCAGAGGAAATGGAAAGCACCAAAGTTTAATACATGAGTGTCACAGAAAGGGGTCTGAATCCTTAGGACCATGTGATATATCAGTTTGTCTTTACTAATAAATCTGCAGAAATAAAAAAAAAAATCTGTGTTTTTCTGTCAATAAGGGGTGCCGTGTGAACAATAATGAGAAAAAATGAATGTCATTGATTTTAGCAAACAGCTGCAATATAACAAAGAGTGAAAATTTTGATGAGGGTCTGAATACTTTCCGTACCCGCTGTAATCAGAAATAACATTTTTAAAACGTATTTTCAGTGTTCCACACCTTTAAAGCAGAAAGTTTCATTTTGCTACTAAACGAGGCGGTTTGTGACTAAAACATCCATCAGAATCCCCGTCTAAACATGGATGCATTAATGCACAAGTGTCCTTTGATCAGATATGTGGGTGTAAAAGCTGGACAGTGATGATCAGACCTGGTACTTGGCCGAGCTGTCGTCCAGGGTGTCCAGCTGCCGGCTGAGTTTGTTCATCTGATCGTTGATGTCGTCCATGTCAGCACAAAGGCGCTTGTACGCCCGCAGGTCTGCATCGAACTCTCTCTTGTACTCTTGTCTCTGAGCGTCTGAAGTTATCGCTGGGTAAACTCTGGGGGAGCAGCATGTGGCAAGGTGGGAAAAAGATCCTTTTAGTATTTTAAAAGTTAACTTCTGAAGTGAGCGAGCTGTCCAGCTACAACTGGACTAATGAAGCTTCTCTAGCTCGACTCCACATTTCTCCCACTTCACAGACTACAGAGTGGCACGTTTTACTGGGCTAACTGGGGAAAACAAACTGTATCTGTCTCCAAATGGGCTGCTGGAGTATTCACCACCCAGTATTTAGAACAGATGTTGAAAAAACTAAATATGTTCTGGCTGCGATACTAAATCAAATTAATTTCACATGAGATTGTTTTTCTGAGCTTCATGTGAGAGAATGTGGGTCTGGTCCCGAGGGGCAGACTATAATCTACAGGCTCCTTTTCAAATCCAGGATGTAAATGAGAAGCTTCGCTGCAACAGAACTAGACTCCTCACCTTTCCCATTCTTCTGCGTCCAGCTCGTTGCCCGTCTCTCCTCCTGTGGTGTATTCGGTTTCATACTGAGATTCATCCAGTTCTGGGTTACGCCTGCGCCTCTTGCCCCTGTTGGCCGAGGGTCTGCGGCCGCCGCCGGCCTCTTCTGATGGGCTGGAACTGGTCCTACCGTGGGAGAACGCTTCAGACGGCCGGCTGGTTGTTCTCTCTGAATATCTGCAGAACCAATAATAAGAGAGCATTCTAACTGGTCCACACTGGTAAATTTGATTTACGTTAATTCTAGATGGGATTATATGCAAGATTCTCCCTTTGTCAATATTTGATTGTTTAAAAGAAATCTAAAAGTCCTGTTGACTTTTCTGATCAGTGAGGGAAAATAACTGAAGAGAAAAAAAAACAATGACCCCCAAGGGCATCAGGAACAAAATACCCCCCCCCCCCCCCGCGACCCAAACTGATGCCATATGGAGGAAGGTACGACACTTTGACTGATTCTTGCAACAATGCGCCATATGGAGTCCCTCAGGAAACAGGAAGCAGGTACAGCTTTTTAATAAGTCCTGGACTAAACACAATTTTGTGGGTTTGTAGGGATTTGTGGAAGAATCCAGATCCAAAGGCACAGATAACAAAGGTTATTATTAAACAGAGGCTGTAGGTCTACTGACATTCTCCTGCTTATGAAGAACTAAATTAAATGATTCTGTACTTTGAGCTAAATCTAATCCTTTTTTCCACTTTCTATTCTAAAACGTTCCTCTGATTCTAAAACACGTCGGACCTGATTAGATCATCTAAGGAAGTGTAAATCCTCATTTTTGTCACATAAACCTTAACCCGACTCGGGTTGCGAATAACCACAGTCACCAATTCTCGTCATGTGTCTATGCCTATGTATGTATGTCTGATCTCAGAATTGTGTGTACTGAAACTCTAATTTCCCTCTGGGATTATTAAAGTATCTTTGAATTAAATTTAAATTGAAGATGCTAAAACAAACAAAAACAAAGCACTGAAGGAATCATTCCCTCCTCCGACGAACAGCAAACCCATTGCTCCACAAACGTTCAGCTTATTCACCTACCCGGAGAGTTCAGGAAGGGGAAAAAAAAGAGTTAATCCAGAATAGGCTCAAAGGTCACAAACAGCTCTCAATGTGGGCCGGGCAATATGTTTTTATGGGCTTTAGAACAGACTAGTGATTAGAGCTGCTTGTGCGAGTCACATGTTTGACTGACTGAGGACACAAACGCTGGAGCCATGCTTTTATGAAAACCTGTCAGGTGTTCCTCAGGATTCATGTGGAAATTAAGGTAGTTAGAGGATGAAAACACTGTGGCAGGAGCTAATAGCTAACAGAGGGGTGAATGTAAATATCTAAAGTTTTCTGCCTTTTAGGTCTATTGCTCTTTCTGACATAAGATCGGTCAATCTGAGTTTCACACGCACACCGAACATGACATTTGTCTTCAAACGTATCATGTATAGCGTCTCCTAGGGTTCTACAACCCCCCAAGGTGCTTTACAACACAAACAGTTGCACACACACATTCACACACAGATGGTAATGAGCATTGTAGCCACAGCTGCCCTGGGGCTCAGTGACAGAGGCCAGGCTGCCCAAGGACACGACGACAGCAACAAACTAATCGGGACTCCATCCTGCAACCCTTTGGTTATAATACGGGTACTTAGCTTCTCTGCTACTGTTGTTCAACTCTCTTCACCACATCATTAGCCACAAAAAAGAACTAGACAGGAAAACCATCGGGTCAGAAAAAGCTGCACAGACCTACGTCAGACCAAAAACTAGCATTCATGGACTCAACCATCTTGGCTCACCACGGGGAAGACAGTTGTTGGTTTAGCATCCAGAAGAGAGCAGAGTCTTTGCTAGTTGAAACTAACCATTAGCAAAGCAACTCCACAACATGGTGGAACACATTGGGGCTTGTGTTATTTGTGGAGATAAACCACAAACAAAGGCAGCAGAAGAGTCGCGTTAGCCAATCAGAGGCCATACCTTTGCATCTTGCACTATTGCTTAACTGAATAGGACTAACAATCCGGCAGTTTGTACCAGTCGATCAACAAAAAAATTAATGAGACTTTTTAAGTAAAATCTGTGTCAATTAAAAAACGAGCTAAAGGTAGAATATGGAACATGAACACTCTCGCGGCATCTAGTATTTAAAGGTGGTAGCTGCAACAACAGAAAACATTTTCCTGCCATCAGGGCAGTAGCGGTTTTAGGCATGGGCAGACCGGGCGGCTGCCCAGGGCGGCATGTTTTCATGACACAAAGGGGGCGCACAATCGCTGAGTAAAAAAAAGGAAGAAAGAAACCTGCGCCGCAACATGGTTTTCTATCTGTCAGATATCACTGTGTCTGGATTGGAACCAGCACGTTGGCGCCCCCTGCAGCTGCAGGCGCTCCTGCTCACTGAGAGGGTTCAGGCGAGCACCGAGTGTGTGAAGAAGAGAATAGGGAGGGACGCGGGGAATTCACCTCTGGGTCTCTCCAAAATGAAACAGACGAACACATTCTCACTCCCAGCGCGTCAAAACAGAAGCTTGGTCACTGTAAGGGTAACGTGTTAGCTATCAAGATGGTTAAGGTTAGGATAGGGGTGAGGGGAAGGTTAAATAACAAGAGGATAAGGTTTGGGTGCAGTACAATGAGCTCGTTTGGTGCCCCGGCTGCGGACATCCCATCGTGTGAGTTTTACGCTGCATTGGGATCTGCAGTCAGAAAAGGGGAAACCCCCTTTTCGTTCATAGGTGACGAAAAAGAGCACTTTTGGCGTCGGGGTGTGACGCGGAGGGTGGCTGACCGTTTGTTTTTGACACGCTGGGAGTGACAGACGGGGGGTGGGGGGGTCTGAATCAACTGTATGAGATGGCTGAAGTCAATCACACCTTGATGTTCTTCCATATAACGCGGATTTAATTCAAAATATTATAAATACAGGCTTATAATTCCTTCACGTTTTTCCAAATTGTGTGAAATGGCCCCCCAAAAAAGAGGAAAAACAAAACAATTTTGTGGTCACCCACCAAGGTCAGTTGGTTTAGTCTCGACTCCTGTTGTTGTCATTGATGATTAGAAACCTGTTTATTGAGTCGAGTGCCAAACGAGATGGACAGAAAAAAGCCAAAACCATCAGGTGCCCAATTCAGGAAAAGAAGAAGAGGAGAAACGGGAGAAAGATAAAGGTAGTACGTTCTCATGCTAGGTTGCATGTTTTAAAAATTTTTTTAAACCAGTTAAATTTGATCAACTAATTGCTAACAGAGCAAATAGCACTGAAAGTTTGAAGTGAATGGTTCAAATAAATTCCTTGAATCCTTTTTGAATGATTCAAGCGCGAGGATTCATTAAATGCGCACTGCAGCCTGCGGCCTGCCTCCTGAACAATAACAAAAACACGTTGATCATGATTCATGTTCACATAATAATGAATGAACTCTACAAGCCCTCACTAGCATTTCCAGTACTACTGAACATGTTAATGAAATACATTACTGGTCTACTGATCACAGCATGCCAGCAAACTCATGCACTCTCCAAATATGCATGTGGACCTAGCTGTGAGTCTTTTGAAGAAGACCAAGCAAGGTCTCCAGAGCTACAGGGCAAGTGGCTTTGAGACAGCACAGATGGCAACCAAAGAAATGTGTGAAGAAATGAATGTGGAGGCTGTTTTGAAACAAAAAAGGTTGAGGTCCACAAAGTGCCACTTTTCATATGAATCCCATGATGAGCCTTTCAGTGATGCCCTTAAAAAGTTGGAGGTTGAATTCTTCAGTGTTGTTCTTGAGGCAGCCACGTCAGCCATCAACGAGAGGTTTTCCACACTGGAAATTGTACAAAACAAATTTGGGGTTTTGACCAATTTTACAAGCCTTGCAGATGAGGAGCTGACAGAGCAATATGAGGAACTAAGCACCACACTGCTTAGTGGCGCAGTGGTTAGCACTGTTGCCTCGCAGCACGAAGGCTGCAGGTTTGAAACTCTGCTGCGGCCTTTCTGCGTGGAGCTGCGTGTTCTCCCCATGCATGCGTGGGTTTCCTCCGGGTACTCCGGTTTCCCCCACAGATCACAACATGCCCTATAGGTTATAAATTGTAAGTCGCTTAGGATCAAATCGTCTGCTAAATGAATAAACATAAACACTGCACTTTGACCCGCACTTGTATAGCGCCTCTCAGAGTAAGGACTCCAAAGCACTTTACAGTACAGTGTATCATTCATCCATTCACACACACATTCACACACTGGTGGGGATGAGCTACGATGTAGCCACAGCTGCCCTGGGGCGCACTGACAGAGGCGAGGCTGCCAAGCACTGGCGCCACCGGTCCCTCCGACCACCACCAGCAGGCAAGGAGGGTTAAGTGTCTTGCCCAAGGACACAACAGCAGAATTCTCTGTCCGGAGCCGGGATCGAACCTGCAACCTTCCAATTACTGGACAACCCGCTCAACCTGTTGATCTACTGCTGCCCCGATAAATGACCCGCACTTGATGGGAACACTGATTTGGACGGTAGAGCTTTTGCAAGAAATCAAGAACTTCCCCAACCTGCCATCAACAACCATGAGCCTCCTCGAGCTTATCATAGAAATGATATTTTCTTCTTCTTCTTCTATCACTTTTACCCATGATAAAGATCTAGCAGAGATCTACCCCAACTTTTGGACTGCTCTCAGGATTGCTCTTACACTGCCAGTCACTGTGGCTCAAGCAGAGAGGAGCTTTTCAAAACTGAAGTTGATCAAGTCATACCTGAGGTCAACCATGTCTCAGGGGTGTGGGCGCTCAAGGGATGTCTCGCCCGGGGAGTAATTCCATGTAGAACCGCCACTGCATCAGGGTGTTGGTTGACTGCTGACACATTAACTCATTTACTGCCATTGACGACTAAAGTCGTCATTTGCATTTATTTACTGGGCGGGGCATCAGAACGAGCCCCCACACCGTGAGAACAAACATTACAGCTCTAAAGCTGATCTTCATCTGCGTATGTCATATGTCACGTGATCAGGAAGCAGAAAATCCATGAATTTGGAGATCGTTTTGGGCCGCGCGACCGGAAAAGCCTCTGCTGCTCACAAATCGACAACAGATTATGAAAGAACGGATAATGCTCGAAACACGCGGATTCTTCCTGATGTAAGAAGTGAGTCTACTCTTTGTTTTGGTAGTTTTGGCGTTGACGTCATCATAAAGCACAATGTTCTGTGACTCTTCAAAAAATAGTAAAAATGTTCAAAAACGCTGGCAGCCAGAGGCTTTTCTGATCAGGAATCGGCTGGCAGTTAATGAGTTAAGTGACCATCCAACACCATGCCCAGTGACAAATTGTACAGGATAAGAAATCATTTCTACTAAGTTTACTTCACAACTGTTTTTACTGTTAGAACATCTTCTGGGCTCAGAATCAGTTGTTTGACTCGACAAGCCTGCCATTTTACACAGTCCCAGCCTCGCCTTGCCTAGCGTACTTTTTAGTACAACAGTGCCCTCTAGTGGCTGGTGTAAACATAAACCCAGTGTCGTGCCGGACACAATGAAAATGTGACTATTTATTTTTGTAAATATAGCTTTTAAAGGAAAAACTGTACATTCATTCTGTCCACGCCTTGCCCACGCCCTTACTGTTTGTCGTCCCCGTTGTAGGAGCTGATGTCCATCTTGGTGGGTGGGTAGGAGGTGACACTATTCGCCGATGCGTTGAGAAGCCCGCCTCCCTTCTCCGACACCAGCAGGGTCGGGGCATCCTGAACACTACGGCTTTCCTCCACATTGTTCACCTAAACCAGCAGGAAAAACAACAAGGAACAGGCTGAGCAAATAAAAACTTCTGTACCACCAGAACAAAAACCCCACCCCACCCCCGACGGCTTTACAGTAGCACGTCCTGCTAAATAAACAATCTTTCCTCTCTCTGTTTCTCACATTGTGACTGACTGACTTCTACATCTTCTAAAATCATTAATGCACACCGGTTAACAACTGAGAAGCAGAAAGAATAACCACATGAGCTTGATAATTATATTTTTAAACATTTAGGTACAGAATATGACCGCCGATGCCTCAGTGAAACCTCTCTGTTTGGCTCAGTGCGCAAAAAAATCAAGAGAGCAAAAGCAAATGAGATCTGCAGGTTGGGCACAAATAAAAACAAACGTTTTCCTTTTGTTCCTTTGTTTTGTGTTCAGAAGAACACATGGAACAGATCCTCTCTTCCTTTCAAACAAAAGAAGGCTTCACGTGTGAAAATACTGCCTTTGATCTGTACTTTCAAACCTTTCCTGTGAGGTCAAAGAGCCTAAAGGGTCAAATTCCTCACAATGAAGCCCTCATGGTCAGTTCCAGTCATATTAACAATCAGACAATTTTTTATGAGTCCCCTAAACAAAAAAAACTACTCTGAAATCTCCAAGTTACCCATTTCAACATAAGAAAAGTTACTTTTGAGAATAAATCCTACTAAAAATGATTAAACAGAGCAATGTAACTTGAGATCCTTTAAACTGACATTAGGTTTATTCTGTCACACACACACACACACACACACACACACACACACACACACACACACATATATATATATATATATATATATATATATATATATATATATATATATATATATATATAGATAGATAGATACACACAAGTTAGAGCTTTTAGCTGAGTGGAGCAGGGTGGAAAGATTACCCTGCAGGATTTTCAGATTGGTATTATGATGCGAGGAAAGATAATCCTAAGGTCTTTTGCTCATAACAAACTCAACCCAGATGGTCTCAGGTTATGTTTTTCTAGATTTGCAAATCCATTAAATGTTCTCTCCAATAAAAGTGTTGCTCAGTGTAAGAAGTAGTAGCTATTATCTAAAACTGGGACTTTATTGACATAGGACAAAAACAGATGTTTATAACTGTTTATGATGATACTATAGAGGGTGGAGACCCTAACTAACCCAGGAATGATACCACACTGTGGGATGCTTAAGTCAACATGAGTCTGGGACATTTGATTTATCAGATTAGCTTAACCCTCTGGAGGCAGGCGTTGCAGATTTGCAACGTTAAAACCAACCTACCTGGGGTCTCATTTATCAAACACTGCGTAAAATCCTTACTAAAACCGTACTTAAGCTCAGCAAAAAAAAAAAGTACTTAAGCCAAGTAGGTTTGTGATCTATCAAACATGGAGTACACACAGCTTCATAAATCAGAAACTAGAAATGTTCTCAGCTGCTTTTTAGTCACATCCCGCCCTCACCACGCCCACTTACTGCCATAAATAGTCAATGCAAAGAGCCTTGTGGATCTCATGCATTTACATAAGCCGGCTGTTGCAGCGCTCCACCAATGACGATGGCGACAGTAGATCAAGGCAGATCAAGGAAGCGCTATTTCACAGAAGCAGAAGTTGAGGTACTTGTGGGTGAGGTGGAGAAATGAAAGGAGGTGCTTTTGCAAAACAATAAGAGAAAATCAACGGAGTGGCACAGCGTTGCTGAAGCCGTCAATGTTGTGAATTCTTCAGAGAGATCTGTGGCGGATATAAAAAAAATGATCCGATCAGGATTCGATCCCCAGACTCCCAGGTGAAAGTCACACGTGCTAACCAGTCAGCCAAACAGAGATCTCCCTTGTACAAGTAGCCAGGGCGCATGATCAATCGGGTCACAGTGACAGGACACACACACTGTCATAGGCGCATGACTTTCTGTCTCAATCTGTCCCCCTGCTGATATTCTGCATTCCGTATTCTGTGCTTCAGGCTGTGTGTGTGTGCGCGCGCGCGCGTGCACTCGTGTGAGTGTGCGCGCATGTGTGTGTGCGCGCACGTGTGTGTGTGTGGGGGGGTCTTGTTCTGTGTGAAAACGAAGCAGTACAAGTGATAATGCTGCAGGATTTCATAATTTTATCCTTCTCAGCAGCAGCTGCAGGTGCTCTCCATGTCTACAATGTGCGTAAGCCAGGTCCTTAGTCAACTTAAAGTTGTGCACATTTTTCCGCTAAGTTTTCTTTCATAAATCCCAAAGTTTGCGTGGAAAGTTGCTTACGCAGTTTTCCGACCCCATTTTGTGCGTAAGCAAGCTTGATAAATGAAGCCCCGTTACTCCACATATGTATTTGATGAGCATTTTTTAACTAAGAAGTACCACTTAGGGACTTAGTTGTTCATCCTTTTATCAAAAATTATTTTGAGCCTGAGAGGGTTCAATCATAAAAGAAAATGCAGCCCAGAGACAGCTCATCCATAGGGGGCGCTAAGGCACCATCCTCCATTGCTGAAGGAAGAGAATACATCTAAAAAGTAAAAGAAAATCTACAGTACTTACAAGTATTTGCCATAATTGTGTGAGTTTTGCTTAATTGTGTGTGCCTACATTCAATCCGAATTCTTTACGCATCAGTTTCACCAGCTGTCTGTCTTTAAATAGTGTATTTTTCTCTAGCACTCACTAATATCACTCCTGGGGCGCTGGGAAAAGCAATCTGAGCTAAAGTTAATCAGCCAATAATATTTGGTTGCTAGGGAGAACTGAAGAATTTTTGACCAATCAGCATCACTAAATTTATCACCTCTGGGTCACTGGCTGATAGCGCAAACACCTAGCTACAAGCATGTTAGAAGGTGCGAGATCTCAATTCAAACGAACATCAAACAAACGTCAAAATGTGAATAAGGACAAATATGTACATTATGAACTGTGGATCCTCACAAGTAGGCTTGTGTATTTATTTGAGTATTATTATCTCATTTATCTGTAAGTTTTATTACTTATTTGAGGGAGAAATACAGAGTCAACACCTGCTTTTCTCTCCTTGATCCTCATGATCTTGCCTCACTAACAATTTCGGATTGGACCTAGAACTTTTGTACTTTTGGTTTAAAAAGTATAATTCATTTGGTCTTTTTTGAGAAAATTGTTGATTTTGTGTTTGTTCCTCCGTTCGTTAGATTTTCCCGCTTTAGAGAGCAGACTTTATTTGTTAAATCGATTCTTAGTTTTGCAAATTGCTGTTGAGTATTTTAGTTAACCTTAGAAGGACTTATCCTTTCATTTTGGTTTATTACTTGACTCTGATTTTGACTAGTTTTAATTATAATTTATCAGATTGTTGCTGTTCCTTCCTGACACCCTTTTGCCACTGGTGTTTTGAGTTAACTCCCCCTTATTTGTCTTTTTTTTGTTATTCTTTATCTAATCTAAATAATCTTAATTCTTGTGAAGCGCCTTGTGACTTTTATCTCTAGAGGCACTATATAAAAGACTGTTTCTTCTTCTAAGTGAAAACATTTTTAAACTTAGCCTTATTTTACATCCACTGCGAAATTGTGTTTCTTTGTGTTAATAAAAGACTGTTTTTATTTTGTAAAACTGCTTATTTGGAGATGGGAAAGAAATAATTGTTTTGGAAGCATAGTAATTTTTCAGCTGTTCATTTGAATACTTATGATGGACTAAAAGTGAAATGCATTCACAGACAGCCCCCCCATTGGTGTGGTTAGTTTACAAATGTGTCTGATGTTGAGTTAGAGGTTGTCTAGGAGGAAGGCAAATTTAAATAAACACAATACCTAAAAACAAAAATCTGTCTTTCTCTGAAAACAATCATCACGATGGGTGGAGTACATGGGGGACGTGGGAGCAGAACTTCTTGCAGCTGCAGGAGAGTCCTGCGCTTCACGTAAAGACCCAAACAATGACCCCCTCAGTGTGCAGCACGGCTGCCAATCAGCTGTGAGCAAAGTAGCGTGTAAGGGCGGTGAGAATGTCTGAGGCCCAAACCCGGTGAAGCAAGGACAAGAGGCACAGATTATTTAGACACAGAAGGAATTTCAGACACCAGATGGTAAATAAGAACACAGAAACAAAGAGTTGCGATTAAGTAACGTTCAAACCAGGAAAAATGTGATGAGAAATCAAAGTTGTTGCACAGAAACAGATAAAAACACTAAGAAGATGTTCGGTCATCAAAATGATTTCATGTTAAAAATAATCCTATAAAACAGTTCCCAACCACCACAATCTCTCTCCATCTGCGCAGCGTTTCTGTGGTTGTGACACAAAGACGACCCTTACAAACCCAACTCCGATGACTTCATGCAGCAGACACAATGCATGACCCATTGGGGGGGAGCTGAGTGAATAAAGCCTGTATGTGAAGTCATCAAAGCAAACCGGGCCTCCCCAGCTTCCCAACAGGTCCAATCTCAGCCTCAGACAATCTCTGTCAGGACTTTAAACGGGAACGGTGACTCGCGACCAGGTCGTGCTCGACGGAGGACATGTTGGAAAGGTGGAAACTAAAGGCCTCTTTTCCAAATATAAAATACGTATTTGTCTAAATATAAGAAAGACACCCACTGGATGATTTGCTTTTGCAAACACAGTCTTAAGACCCCAAAATCAAGTAGGTTACACAACCTACGTGTTCTAATCTCTCAATAAATAATAATCCGACTGTCAAATTTTCTAGGACTCTTTTTATTTTTAGAAATTCCTTTGCTTATTCCTAAGCCTTTCTAATCCATAAACATACCTCTTACATTTTCCCATTCCCACGAGAGACGTTAAATAAGTGGCAGCACACTCTGCATCCCTACAACAACAGGCTGATGACGACACCAGCGGGCATGGCTCCATTATTAGACACAAGTGCTAGTCAGAGGATTTACCCAGCGAGGCAGACGAGTCACCTTCGTGCTCCTGATCTCTGTGTGTGTGTGTGTGTGTGTGTGTGTGTGTGTGTGTGTGTGTGTGTGTGTGTGTGTGTGTGTGTGTGTGTGTGTGTGTGTGTGTGTGTGTGTGTTGCACTACACACTCAGCTGTGACACCCACCTCCAAAACAAGCGGCTCTGCATCATTCAGTTTAACCACACGTCTGAGAAAAGTTGCTGACGGTGTTTTCAGAGATGAATTACTGTTTTTCTGCATCTTTGATCGTCTAATAGAAAAGAAGCTTCCACAGACACTTTACACCAGGTTAAGAGTTCAAATGAGCTTTTGCAAATATAAGGAGGCTGCTTTTTTTTAGGAAAACTGTAGCAAAAACACTGATTATCCCTTTAATTAAAAAAAAATACAGGAAAATAAATCTGTGGTTTTCTTTTTTTTTTGTGCATATTTTTTAAATTTGTGGCAGTGGAGGCTAGAAAATAATACAAAACTAAGCATATTAATCTTAAGATAATGATAATAGTATGTAGATCTATTTTTTCTTTTTAATTCCCATATTTAAAAAAAATTGTTTAGTAGTTTTATATTTTAGGTGAGTTCAATCTACATTTTATTCAGCTATAAAAATTTTAATGGGACTAAAATATCAAGCAGCTGACCTGCCAGTTAAAGAATAAAACCCAGCCCCAAAACACCTTCCTTCAGGTTGATCACTATTGTATTAAACATTATTATCACTTTATACAGGTGAAACAGAAAAAAAGTAGAGCATGGCGCAAAAGTACTTTTATTTTAGTAAATGACTCTGCAGGCCTTCGGAGCTCCTGATGCTTTAGTCATTCATAAAGCAGAACTCGTCTAAAACGTGGCGGATCAGGTGGATCATTAACCCGTGTTTCACCTGTATGACCCAGAGTGTTGTTGATGTTTAAATGAGACAAACTCTAGAAACCAGAGCTCTGCTGGCTATCTTTACAGGTGGTTAATGATTACTCAGAGCGAAACCAGGTCGTAGACCAGAAGAACACACTCATAGGCCGTTATCAGTTCTGACCCTGGACCTAATTACTCAGAAGCAGCGCAGTAAGACCATTTCTCCACTGGATCTTATAAACTATAAGGCCTCTATGAAAAGCTCCGCCTGGACTGTCAATAAAAACAAATGAAGGTTGAAAACTATTCCAGCAACAACTTCATCTGTTAAAAAGATCTTTATATGAATGCACAACCATCTGTTGCACCACCACATTCACGTTCCTGATGACTGCCGCCATAATGACCCACGCCATCGCCTATCCCACTTCACAAAGGAAAAGATTTCAAAGGTAAAAAGGTCATTTTTGAGGCTGCAGCTTGTTTTGTAATCTAATCTAATCACTTTTTATCTGCTGACAGGATTTAAACACTGCATCAGTGAAACTGTGCATGCTCATCTCCAGGTCAGTTTGGGTCAAACATGGATTTTTTTTTTGTCTCCTTCTTTTTAAATCCCATGTAAACACAGACTGATCAAACAGTGTTTTTCTCTTACCCATTCCTCCACATCTCTGCCTTCCGAGGCCTTCCCACCAACGAGAGGCTCCTCCCAGTAGATATTTGGTTTTCCGTAGCGCCAGATCTTCCCTCTTGTTTTCTGAGCAAAGAAAGCAGCGACCCCCAAAGCGACGACGACCAGGAATCCACACACCATGGCAACTCCCTAGAAAAGCAAGAACAAGGGGGTGAGATCTAGAAAAGAGATAAGCTGTAAGTTGTTAACAGACGTCATACTGAAACACATCCTGCTACAGGGCTTTAGGAGAAGTCATGTTCTCAGACCTGCGCAAAATGGATTCTTATATTTATAATGGCTGAAGTTCTATGAGTCATCAATCATTAGAATAGTCACGGAGGCTGAATTAAAGAGAAACGGACCTCTTGTGGGTCCACAAAGCAGTAATGGTACAGGTACTGGTTGTACATGGGGAAGCCTCCCACTCCTCCCATCTGAGAGTAGGTGGTCTGGTAGAGGTTCTGACACATCATCAGCATCGGGTTGTACATCATACTGGAGGAGCCCTGGGCCATGGGGTTCACGCCCACAATGTACACGATGGTCATGATGCCCTGGAAACAAACAGGACACACATTCAGTCACACAGATGAAGCATCACTGATGTCTACAGGAGTCACAATTAGCATGATTCAATGGAGACACACACACACACACACACACACACACGCGCGCGCGCTCTAATCAGTGATATGCGGGTTTGTTTGAAATCATTAACACAACTTTTCTCTAGAGGGGAGAAATGATCTGTGTCACGTTTGCTGAGATAATTAAAGATACAGGCAGAAGCATCCTGAACGGATCAGGGTTTTTTCCCTTCAGACACTCTCACAAATACTCCACTTTTAACCTGCTAATGAGAACAAAACTAAAACTACAGTGTAGTTCTGTTGTCTTCAGCATTTCGAATGATCTATCTAGTGATTGTGGGTTGATTTGATTTAACGAGTCATACCAGAAACAGGTGTTTCCAGTAGGGATGCACCGATGGATCGGCATTTGGTTCCAATCGGCCGATAGCGCCCCTATCGGTTTTGATCGGAGTTTTCAAAATAGATCAAAGCAGACCGATCAGAGCATTTTAGATTAGGTTACATTTCCTTTATTCCCAGATTATGTAGTTTGTAGCACTCATTATAATGTTGTAGAAAATTTCTGGCCAATCCACGTGATCGGTATCGGTGATCAGCATTCTTTGATATCGGTAGGGCTGCAACAAACGATTATTTGGATAATCGATTAATCGGATGGGGTCTCGACACGATTAATCGATTAATCGGATTACATGGGGAAATTTTTAAAAACTGCTAGGGAAACGTTATTTCTCTCCTTCCTTCACTTTATTTAACACAACATTATTAGAAAACAGTTCAATAGCAGAAAAACAACATGCCATCACCTAAATTGTCTTATAAGGTGTATAGACAGAGACCCTAAGCTACATCTATCTGTGACCTAAAATGCTTGGTCCAAGTTAAACAGCTTAAGGGCAATTCTCATCTGTTTTGTTTGATCTCATCTGTTGACATTTATTTTAAATGTAATTAAACATAGGCTGTGAATTTATCAAAATTGATCACTATTTCCAAAAATGACTGAAAAAATACCAAATAAAACAAAAGTAAATGAATGCCATCCTCCTTGCGATGATGCCCTGGGCAACTGCCATAAAGTCACATCAAGAAATGCTGCTGATCATTCCAATGATCCCAAATAGACTCACATTAGGCCACATGAAAGCAACTGAACCCAAAAATATATTAACCAGTATATAACTGCACTCTCACACAACACGCCTGCAGCAACAGTTAGGACTCCTCCCTCCCTTTTAAAAGCGTTTTTGCTTCTGAGGACATTGTGGTTGTAAAACCACATGCTAGTAGTCTGGCCCCGGTGTGATCAACCAGTTTCTGCGGGAATGTGACGGCGGAACCAGGGCCAGATTAACACGTTGTTGTACCCTGGGCAACAATATTCAAGGGCTCCATCATCACGACCCAAGGATCACCATAATGTGGTCACATACAGAATATTTTACTGTAATATGCAGTAAATATACTCAATACTTGAATGCCTGACAACACGTAACCCGCCCAGAGTAACCTTTGACCCACCTCGTGTGGACTGACCAATGAGGAGAGGGTCTTAACTTGAGGCCCTCTCTTCATTGGTCAGTCTGCATGAGACTGACTCTCAACTGACGTTCAGTCGTAGGCAGCGAAGCGTCTCTGTGCAGTGCAAAAGCCCGGGTGGACAGTTTGTTTAATGTAGGGTGACCATATTTCCATTTCCAAACAAGAGGACAGGGGATCTGTGCCTATGACGTCACACTATGGCAACGCCACACAAACCATGTTGGGACCCATTTTTTGTAAGAACTAAATTAATATCAGATTCTGCCAATTAAAGGGCTCTAAAACAATTCATATGTAAATATTTTGCATATTTAATGCAAAATCTAATTTTTCTGCTTTAGTGCTGCAACAAGGTTTTATTAATAATAAATTATTATACCTTTTGTTTTACTACAGCATCGGTAAGCTTCCTGTGCACAGATTATTAAGGATGCTTGTTTCAACTGTGAGATTAGACGATAGGATCAATGAAAAAATAAGTTGTCACAAACTCCATGGAAACTTTCAGAGAATCCACAAATAGTGGCTTTCAAATGGTTTTGTTACTTTTTGCAAGTTTATAAAAGAAGCAGATGAGACAGCATGTCTGATAATTTAGTTTTTCATCTGATAATATTAGAGCATGTCAGTAATGTCTGAGGGGCTTTTATAAACACCATATAACTAACACTACTGGAGAGGGCATGAATTACACAGAGGCTTCTGGGGAGCCCAGTTATGGGGGGGGGGGGGGGGGGGCATTTTGCCTTGGCCCCCAAAATGTCTTGAAACGGCCCTGGGTGTGTGACTGACTTTTGAAGGTGATCTGAATTGTATCAGATGTATAAATATGACATGTGTATAACTTATTGTTTTTTACTGGTAAAAACGTGTAGTGGAGATAAATCTACCTACATTTTACTTTTCAACACTTTGTTTTGTTTTCTTGTTTTTATTGAACTATTTTCCTGTCCTGTCTGTCTCTCATCTTCCTGCATCTCCTCTTAATTCTCCAGAAAATCTGTTGCCTGGATTCTTACCTTTTCACCTCATCAGTTACTTTTGAGCAGGTCAAAGGGATCTCCTGACCGAAAAGCGCAGAGCGCGTTTTCGATGCTGCGTGAGGTGACATCACCACAGCACAGGTGATGAGCTCCGCAGTAGCGCGCTTCAGGCACAAATAAGACAGAAAATAGAGAACATGTGCGGACATGAACGATCGTGTGCTAATTATAGTTTTTTGGTTGCGCCACTTTGAGAATGGACCGTGCGCTGGAAGCAGCTGCCTGGATCGCTGTGCAACAATGCGGAACCGGTTCGCAGCAGCTCAAGTCTGCCGGCTCTCCCTCGCGCTGATCTGCCTGTACCGGCTCTCCCTCGCGCTGATCTGCGGCTCTCCCTCGCGCTGATCTGCGGCTCTCCCTCGCGCTGATCTGCGGCTCTCCCTCGCGCTGATCTGCGGCTCTCCCTCGCGCTGATCTGCGGCTCTCCCTCGCGCTGATCTGACTTGCTCTGGTCTGCGCGCAACGGCGGGCGGGAAGGGGGGGGCGCTTTTGGAAGAGTTGTGCGACACAACGAATCGATGACGCAATTCGTTGCCAACGCTTTTAGTAATCGATTTTCATCGAATTTATCGATTCGTTGTTGCAGCCCTAGATATCGGTATCGGTGATCGGTAGCAAAAAACCTGATCGGTGCATCCCTAGTTTCCAGTGTTTATTGGTGATGTGTTATGTATATTACACACTCAGACATACAAGCTCAATATAAATTCCAGCTATTTCAAATGTGAAATGACATTAAATACATGAAGTTCAGTTTTTGCACATTTGCTGTTTACATTCATCATTTTAATGATACTAAACACGGTACTACCTGCAGGAGAGCCATCAGGATACTGCATATCAGGACGGCCAGGAAGAACTTCCTAGAGTGGACCATGTTGGATTTGGAGAAGCTGGCGATGAAGAAGCTGAGCGATCCAATGAAGTTAATGGCTGCCATGGCGATCATGGCGGTTTTGGCCGAGTAAGGAGAAACGTATGAGCCATAGTAGTTTCCGTATCCTCCATAACCTCCATAACCGTAGCCCGAGCCGTAGATACCCCCAGTGTAGCCGCTGCCATAGCCCAAACCAGAACCATAGTAGCCTCCGCCCATCCCATAGCCGTACTGGAATTCCCACATGAGAGTAGAAGCCACGCAGGCAAATATGGCTACACACAGCACAATCACACCGGCCATCATGGCCTTGATGATCCCCGGAGGTGATAGCCATTTGTAGAAGTGCTGCGGTTTGTCCTCCATGTAGTAAGATCCCGGTGGAGGCGGGTAAGCGTTGTAGTCGCTGTGAGGGCCATGGAAGCTGCCTGGAGGACCAAAGCCGTTGTTAGATGGAGGAGTGTAAACAGGTGGGCTCTCGTAGTGCTGCTTGTCAAACATCACTGAGGTTTCAGGAGCTGAAACAGGAATCAGAAGGAGTCAGCTGAGAGAACAAAGTGTCCTAAAGAACAGAATGACTCCTTTTCTCAGTAGAACTGATATGAACAACGCTACGTGGAGAGATATGGGTGAGTTAGGTGTGACCTCCTATGGTAATGAGGCTTAGGAACAGCAGCGTAAATGTTTTACCATTGCCAGGTGGGTGTGATTCATCAGAGTAGGACTTATGCTTGTTGGCATATTTTCTCCTGCTGTCATGATTGAGTTTAATACATTTAGCCTTTGTACGTCATAATCCTGACTTCTTGTAGGAACAGCAGAAGAAATACGAAAGCACCGGAAAACCCAGTTGGATGAGAGATGTTGGTACCAGGACGGGAAGAGGAGCCTAACAATACGTCCCTTTTTTCCTCTTTTGTAGGGCGTAGGAGTCGCTCTCTCCAGCCCACACAATGACAAGACTTGAACATTTCACAACCATCCATTCAGCTACAATTTAGGTTTTCTTTAACATTTCTTATAGGATGTGCAAAGCTGTAATGTGAATGACATCATATCGGCCATTCTTCTACACAGGGAGTGGGAGGTGGACGAGCTCCACGATACGTAAACAACAGGACAAGGTTACTGAGTCAGACCCTGGGTTTAACTGCTTACTGCTTACTTCCTGTCTGCATAAAACTACAAAACTAGCAGCTCACGAGACTCCATAAACAGATACTTTATGTGGATTTTTGTTTTCCTTTAGCCGATGAAATATCAGTGATAAAAAGCTCAACACAAACAGACCCAAGGTCATGTTCATACTGTTGATTTACTCTGTCTGATAACACAAAAACACAGATATTTAGTTTGCACTTGTATCAAACAAGAAAATTTGATTCAAGAGCAGGAAGTGGAAGGTGGGAGCTTTGCTAGACTCCTTTTTCCACCTCTAAATCACATTTGTTCCTCAGACAAATTAAAACAATCTGAAATGCTTTAAGGTGTGATCCACTCATTTTTTTCATTGGTCTCTAGAAGGAATGAAAGCCTTGGGAGTCGTTTTCTGTGGAAAAATAGAAGTTAGTCGAAGGAGTTGAGGGTGGGGAGCCAGGATAGAGGTCAACCAAATTTGCTTTTTCTATCTCTGATACCGATGATGATATGTAGAGATAGATGGTGGTCAGACGATGGTCGATATGTGCTGCAAATGTTTGGGCTGACTTTCACAGCTGATATCTAGAAGTTTTCCACCTTATTTGCATGTTAAAACATCACTAATAACAGTTGATGCTCAAAATTTTTGAAGTTGAATCAGTTTTTGTACACTGAATTTAACCAACTGTTATATCTTTATTTTGTTCACTTAAAATCAGACATCTAATTAAAGTTAATCAAACAAATCAGTTAACTTAACAAGTAATGAGTATTCAAAACTGGTATATCAAAAGAAAATTTCGTTAAGAATAAAATTTTAGAGCATTTATTATGCAGATGTTATTCAGGAAAGTAAATATACATTTTAATGAAATTCTCTAGCAGCCGCGGGCTGCCCAGGGATGTGCCAAACTTCAAATCAACTTTACCAAGCAGGTGTATTGGCCGATGCTGATACATAAAAAATGGTAAATATCAGTCAACTGATATACGTGTCTATCCCTAATTACTCATTACTATGATATTCAAACATCTCACCTCTGATTGGCTAGCAGCAATGTTTGCTCTTCTTTTTGGGGTGAAAAATTTAACATTGATGTTTTATCTACACAAAAAACACAAAACCAGAACATGATCTGCCATGTGGTGGAGGTGCTAATGCTAATGGTTAGCTTCTACTAGCTGATATGTGCTCTGCTTTCACCTGGAAGCTAAATCAATGCAGCCTTCTGGAGTCACAAGGCAAGGTGGGTGAGGCCATAAATGCTAATATTACCAGTGACGTATAAGGGACTAGCTTTTTCTGATTTTATCATTTTCCCCATCATTTTTCTTTCTGCAGCTAATGCAGGCGATAGGGCTTGAAGAAATGTTTCAGTTCAGCATGCATATAGAACTCAGACTGATAGTATTTCAGAAATAACAAGTTTTACATGATTTCTCCATGAATGGTCTCACATGAGATTAGATCTTGTTTTGTCTTATCTGAACTGAAAATCTGTTTGTTTATGAGTCTATGTTGAAAAAAAAAAACAAAGCTCAGGAGATTTATGACTGGTGTGTTTTAGTACCGTTCACAAATGTAAAATTGTTAGACTCTTTAAAGAGTCAGTTACCCCCTACTAGAGTCTTACTCCACCCACATTTCCAGTTTGAAAAATGCACCACAAGGAGGCATTGCCTAGCGGACTGGGAGGGCGGGTCTGTGGCAGTGAGTGACACTGAATGTTAACAACCATCACTGCTCCACCAAGGCACTTGAATAACCAAGCTGCATACTTACACACTCTGCTCAGACAAAGAAAAGGAGGCATTTCTTAGTCCCTGATAACAAAGCGAGCTCCTTTGCCTCAGACCGATCCTTTGAAGTGTAAGACTTCTCTACCTGCTTCACCAGAGGACAGAGGTAAGGGAGGAGGGTTTGTTTTGGAGGCGAGCAGCTCAGAGCCGTATCATTTTGAACCGAACGCTCGTGAGGTGTCTTGCTATTGCAACTCTAACTCGCTATAGAGGTGTGGCCTAGCTCGAACCTCAGCTGATTTTATAGGCTACAGCGGCAGTGCAGCTGATGTAGTGGTGTATCGGCAACCTAACGGTCTACCATTTTAGCTGATTTTAGTTTTAACCTGATGGGGGCGCCACACAGGCAGATTTAGGCTGAATTATTCCATTTTAAATAAGATGCACTAAAATGCCTAACTAATGACTACACGTGTATACAAAACTATTACACACTCATTTATACAGTTTATCAGCAAAAAAAACTGTTGATCTGGTGACTCGCTCTTTAAAGTGCAATCTTAGCTAAATTAGAGTTAGATGAGTTCAAGCACAAAACCTACACACACAGCATTCTGGTGTCTCAGTAGGACAGTGAGGGAGGCAGCAACCAAGACACGAATCCATTCAGACATAAAGATGGAGATACGGTCCCTGGCACTGCCCTTAGCTCCATAACTCTTCTCTTTTTATGGGATGTGGCCACACACACACACACACACACACACACACACATACACACGCATCAGAGCCTCCATCCAGGACACCTTCCCACTCTCTCTGTCCCCCAGCTCTCCTCCCCCTCCCTCCATAACTTCTTGTCTTTGCTTCAGGAGCAGGAGGAGCAAAAGTCAGGGCTTCTCGTCACAGAAACAATGTTGCCATGGAGTTGGAGGTTTTTTTTTCTCAGACAAAGAAAACTGGGGCACTTTCCAAGGATCAAACAAGGCCTTCTCTGTACTCTGAGGGACTCGGTCAGACCTGGTGGGGCTGAGGTGAAAAGTAGGGAGGACAGGTGGATGTTGTGCAGTATCAGGTGTCCTTTATTCTTGATCAACAAGCTCTCCAGCAGGTGTTGGTGTTCTATTTTAATTCCCACTAGTGTTTGATCATATAGAAAACTGGCAGGAAATGACCTTTCTGGGCAATAAAAAGCAGCTCAGACTGGACAAACAACAGTTTCACTTTAAAGGACCTTTAAATACTTCTATAAAAACTCTTCTATAGCAAAGATTAGCTCTTTATGTAGAGAGAAATCTAAACCTTTAGCTAATCTAACCCAAGTACTTAACCGGGCTTGGAATGAATATGAAGTTTGTTTAGGTTTGTGATGATATAGACTCGACTAGGTAATTATTCTCTCAGCTTCGTCCTTAATGGAATAACTAGCCAAGTGGCGGGGTTGAAAAAATGTGAATACACCTGATAAGATCATTAAATAAGCATTAGTATCTTCTTATATTAGTATCACAAATAATGATAACTTATTACGGGGTTGTTTTAGGTAAATTACCTGCATGTTCACTTAGAGCCGAGTCTGTAATAACTGTGTTACAGCAGCAGGAGGTGGATGGAGTACAGCAGTAGTAGTTGTAGTATTTGTCTAAAGCTGGTTCATACATCTCGTTTTTTAAAAAGCTGGACAGAAAGCGTGGAGTTTAGATGGCGGTCACAGGTCAGGTCAGACTCCCACCAGCAGACGCATGAACTCCACAGCAACACAAGACTCTATCATCTGCTGCTGATGAAGGAATTCCAGTTATACAGTCACATGCCTTACATCTGTCAAAAACAATCAAGCCTCCACCCAGTGTAGGCTGGGACCCACTGACACACACCCAGGAGCCAGGCAAGATTTCCTGTCCCAAAAAAACCCTACTGTGCAATTTCCTGGAGCATGAAAATATAATTGGATTTGTTACAAAAATGAAAAATATGTTGAGATTGCACATGTTTGCAGGAACAACCACAACCTTCTGAAACCTCTCACAAACATGTTTTGTACAGCTCTTTGATTTATAAAAAATTATCTATTTCTTTAAATAGATGGAAATGAATTATATCATGTTTGATTTGTTTTTATTGGATAGATAGCAACTCCACCTCTCACAACCAATGAGCATTTGACTAGTATATTGTTGTCTAATCAGCCTGCAAACACCTGTGTATATAAACTGGTTGAAACATTTAAACTATAACTCTGATGAAGACAGCAATGTTGAAATGTTAGTTTCTTTTTACTTGCACATATTAAATTAAATATTTATTTATTCTATTCCTCATGTTTTGAGAGTTTTTGAAGGTATTTAAAGTGACAGTGTGTATTTTTCCTGGCGATAGGGGGCAGGGGATACCTAAATTGTTGCAAGCAAGCAGTATTTTTGTGTTGGAGTAAGACCTTACCAACAGATACCCATTAGGCTCAAAAAGCCCTGGAGAGTGCATACTTTAGCTAAAATAAAAAGCACATGAGACTCCCTTTCATCACTGGCAACAAATGAAGAAGTAAATGTGTAAAGCAACAACATTTAAGAATGACGAAAGTTTTGTAACTGTTCGTTTCAAATCAGTAAATGCATTTTGTCCTCAAGGGATCCCATAAAAGAAAATATGGCATCTAATTTGGCGTGGCCCAGAGACTTAGATCTGCTCCTATGTGTTTTAGACCTGATTTTATGGTTATATGTTATTAAGCCGCCAATATTTTTCAACAACTAGGCATCATTTCATTCATTTTCAACAACATTTTGATGGATATTTCCAGAAATGAATGATAAAAACTACACATTGTCTCTTTAATAAAAACTTTAGATTAAATCTATAAAACTTTATGTCAAATAGATTTTTTTAAAGGGACAATAAACCACAATAAATATCCATATCTACAAAAAAAAGAAAATGTCACTCCATATATGAAACATTTAGCTTTAAACGATTCTGTGAAATAAAAAAATCACATCAAATGTAAGAGTTATTGAAATCTTAGAGTACACCTGCATTTCTCAGGTGTAACCGAATTAATCAGTTATTATCACAACAGATAAATATCTACACCTGAACGTATCTGATAATTAATACAATCTTTGATTTACTATATATTAATAACGCAAATGTCAACTGATAATCAACACGTCGTCTGTTTAAGCCAGCATAAACCTAAGCAGGCTACACTTTTATAAACTTTTTTCCTGTTTCTCAGTCAAAGAGCTGATGTTTTTACCAGCAACATTCTGTATCTTAACCCTGATCTGTGTTGAGTTTGGTCTCTCCTGCTGATCGATGCATGAACGTGGGTGAGTCCTTCCTGCTGTTAGCTAGCAGCTATCTGTGACTGTAAACCCACCTGTCGAAGTTTCCGTTAACTTTACACAATCAATCTTCTCGCTGAGACCTCAAAACATCCTAACAACAATAAAGCTAGTCAGCTTAAAGACGGTGTCGTGGAAAAAGAAGTAAAATCTGAAGCAAACATAACTTGAATCCACCTTGAAGTTTTTCTTACCTGAGGACCGTTGAAAGGGGAAAAAAGCTGGAGTGTCCGTTCGTGTTTTCTGCTAAAACGCTCCTTCCAACTAAAGCTTGACTCGGATTACAGGCTTGGCAGAGAAATAATTTGTCCCTAATTTAGTCCTAAAATAGACTTGTGTACCTCCTGAGAGCGTCCTTGTTTCAGATGCGTGTGTTGGACAAAGTAAACTGTCCCAACAGCCTCTGAACAAGTGCTGAGCCTTTGTCCCGCCTGTCCGCGCGCGCTGGTGATGAGCTCCACCGCTGCCTGCACCGCCACGCAGCACCGCTAGAGGGCGGTGTTTCGTCACAGCAGGTGTATCACCATGCGTTACCCCATTGAGAAAGCCTTAGCCCTGTTTAAATTGTTTTACTCAATTACTTTGTAAATAATTCCCATTTCAACGCTACTTTAATAGTCTTTTTTTTTCTATTTTGGCAAACTGTATTGTTCAGTGAAAATTGTCCAGAGCCATGCTGCTAACCAATTCACATTTCCCCTATGTAAAGGTCTGGACAGGCCACATTACATTGAACTGCATATAGACCTGATGGACGCTCTCGTGGTCTGCCTGTATCTGTTTTGTTCTACATGGTTGTGTGTGTAACCTTGGACAGGCTCTACAGCGGAGACAATTTTCTATGCTTCAGGACAATAAAGTTTAGTCTGGTTTTAAATGACATAATTGATCTTTTGTTTGGGTGTCTTGTCTTTTGGATGGACCAATTTCTGTCTGAGTGTGTTGTTGGGTTGAAAGTTTACCAGGATATTGTGTTTGGGGAAAATTCTTCTCATTTTCTCTGAGACTCCGGCCACATCTGGGATGGTGGTGCTTTTGCGACTGTTGCCCTTGTCTTTATTCTCCTTGTCTAGCTCGGTTCTGGGCTGCCCACTGGATTCTGCTGAGGACGTGTGTGACAATAGGATGCTGATGAAGCTGACCTCCATCTTGGAAAACGACTCCCACCTACTATGTTCCACTGTGGAGACCATAGACAGCTCCTTCAGAGGTAGACTGAGACTCAATTTTCCTTTTTTATTCATTTTGTAAGTTCAAGTTTACATAAATAGCGCCAAATCACGACAAGAGTCATCTCAGGCAGCCAATGTAGGGAAGCTAAGACAGGGGAGATGTGATCTCTCTTTTTAATTCTCATCAGAACTCTAGCTGTAGCTTTTTGGACAAGCTGAAGACTTTTAACTACATTCTGTGGACTTCCTGATAGTAATGAATTAAAGTAATCCAGTCTTGATGTAATAAATGTGTGAACTAGTTTTTCAGCATCACTCCTGAAAAGGATGCTTCTAATCTTAGCAATATTCCAAAGGAGGAGGAAGGAAATCCTACAATCCTGTTTAACCTGGGATTTGAATGACATGTCCTGGTCAAAGATAACACCAAGGTTACTTACTTTGTTCTCGGAGACTAATTTTATACCGTTCAGGTCAGGTGATTGACTAAGCATTTTCCTTTTCTGCAGTTTCGGTCAAAAGATGAGAACTTCAGTCTGGTCTTGATTTAAAAGCAGAAAGTTTAGAGTCATCCAATTTTTTATGTCTTCAAGAAAAACCTGTAATCTAACTAACCGATTAGGTTCATTGGCGGTTAATAACTGAGTATCATCAGCATAACAGTGGAAGTTTATCCTGTGCTGTCTAATGATTTTACCAATTGGGAGCATATACAGTGGGGCAAAAAAGTATTTAGTCAGCCACCGATTGTGCAAGTTCTCCCACTTAAAATTATGACAGAGGTCAGTAATTTTTGTCATAGGTACACTTCAACTGTGAGAGACACAATGTGAAAAAAAATCCATGAATTCACATGGCAGGATTTTTAAAGAATTTATTTGTAAATCAGGGTGGAAAATAAGTATTTGGTCAATAACAAAAATTCAACTCAATACTTTGTAACATAACCTTTCTTGGCAATAACAGAGGTCAAACGATTACTATAGGTCTTTACCAGATTTGCACACACAGTAGCTGGTATTTTGGCCCATTTCTCCATGCAGATCTTCTCGAGAGCAGTGATGTTTTGGGGCTGTCGCCAAGCAACACAGACTTTCAACTCCCTCCACAGATTTTCTATGGGGTTGAGGTCTGGAGACTGGCTAGGCCACTCCAGAACTTTCAATTGCTTCTTACGGAGCCACTCCTTTGTTGCCCGGGCGGTGTGTTTGGGATCATTGTCGTGTTGGAAGACCCAGCCACGTTTCATCTTCAAAGCTATCACTGATGGAAGGAGGTTTTGGCTCAGAATCTCACGATACATGGCCCCATTCATTCTGTCCTCAACACGGATCAGTTGTCCTGTCCCCTTAGCAGAAAAACAGCCCCAAAGCATGATGTTCCCACCCCCATGCTTCACAGTAGGTATGGTGTTTTTGGGATGCAACTCAATATTCTTCTTCCTCCAAACACGACGAGTTGAGTTTATACCAAAAAGTTCTACTTTGGTTTCATCTGACCACATGACATTCTCCCAATCCTCTGCTGTATCATCCATGTGCTCCCTGGCAAACTTCAGACGGGCCTGGACATGCACTGGCTTCAGCAGTGGAACACGTCTGGCACTGCAGGATTTGCTTCCCTGCCGTTGTAGTGTGTTACTGATGGTGACCTTTGTTACTGTGGTCCCAGCTCTCAGCAGGTCATTCACCAGGTCCCCCGTGTGGTTCTTGGATTCTTGCTCACCGTTCTCATGATCATTTTGACCCCACGGGATGAGGTCTTGCGTGGAGCCCCGGATCGAGGGAGATTATCAGTGGTCTTGTATGTCTTCCATTTTCTGATAATTGCTCCCACAGTTGATTTTTTCACACCAAGCTGCTTGCCTATTGTAGATTCACTCTTCCCAGTCTGGTGCAGGTTTACAATTCTTTTCCTGGTGTCCTTCGAAAGCTCTTTGGTCTTGGCCATAGTGGAGTTTGGACTCTGACTGTTTGAGGCTGTGGACAGGTGTCTTTTATACAGATAATGACTTCAAACAGGTGCCATTAATACAGGTAACGAGTGGAGGACAGAAAAGCTTCTTAATGAAGACATTACAGGTCTGTAAGAGCCAGAGATTTTCCTTGTTTGAAGTGACCAAATACTTGTTTTCCACCCTGATTTACAAATAAATTCTTTAAAAATCCTACCATGTGAATTCATGGATTTTTTTTCACATTCTGTCTCTCACAGTTGAAGTGTACCTATGATGAAAATTACTGACCTCTGTCATCATTTTAAGTGATGACAGAGTGATGACCGACTTGCCCAATCGGTGGCTGACTAAATACTCTTTTTTGTCCCACTGTATATAGTAAAAATAATTCGTCCAAGCACTGAACCCTGTGGTACTCCACAAGAAACCCTGGAGTCCCACGTGGCACCATAAAAGTACGTCCCAACAAGATTAAAACAAAGAGGACCTTTTAGCTTAACTGAGATAAGGCTGAAATTATTTCTTCTACATGATTTACCAGAGTAGTTCCAGCTTGTCACTACTGGAATGTGTCAATTCCCCTCTTTGTTCATATAAAGTCAATCTAATAACTCGAAGTTTGATGGCGACACAACGCCTAGCTCATATAGATAAACTTTTTCCTTCTGCGTGAGAAATCTGAGGTGTGGCACAACAAGAATGTGTGAAGACAGACATATGCGTGCCTCACACTCTTTATAAAAGAGTTAGCATTTAACCTTTTTAAATATTTACTAATTATTTGGTTATCTGTATCATGCTATTGTACACCTTCCAGAGCAATGAATGAAATATTTCAACCTGCTCTGTTGAGATGTCATTTTTCTTTTAACACAAGTTATTTTCGTGAGCTATACATACCTAAAAACAAAACACTTTGGGGGTGCTTTTTATGAAAGACTAGAACAGGGTCAAAAAGTGGATTTAGCATGATTTAGGACATTTAAATCTTGTACAGGTAGGTACATGAGGATGCATCACATTTAAATTGCAAGGTCACTTCCCATTTATCTAAAGACTTGCTAAAGTTTTTTGTTTGTTTTTGGTTGATTTAGTTTGTTTTTGGTGTCACAACTCACCTAAACAAATTTTGGCACCATAACAAGCTGGTTATTCTCACACCTACAAATCCCAGCCAGTAACAGGAAAAGTACTGGTTTCATTTGCAAAAATAGGAAGGAAAAATAGAATAGATATTTCTGCAATTTAGACTATAAAATTGTGAAAAAAATCAAGTGCTCATTTAATTAAAATTGAAGGAATGTGAAAAAGAACAAATAAAAACTAGATTTACCTGCAGCCAACTTGAGAACAGCAGGAGTCTTAAAACTGGTTTGCATTTAAGTCTTGTTTCCCTGTGCTCTGGCTTGTGAACACAGAAATTATTGTTTGATAAATAAGTTGTTTAATGGGGACCACACATCCTCTGATAAGTTTCAGGATGCCAAGTATTTAGTTGAATTCTGGACAGCATCTCACCTGCACAGGTGAGATTAACCCAGCCTGCAGACTGATAAAAACCGATCAGAATGCACAAACTGCCCCATAACTGTGATAAAATTTCCTTTATTCACAATTAGAGATCTGTCGTTGTCATATTTACAAATACATGTTGCAAATAGTTACACCAAGAGACGTAGAGCAGAAGCAAAGTCCCAACACTAGTCTGAACATCTCTAGAAGTCTCCCCAGTTAGAAATCATCACATAAACGCAGTGTAATGAGCTATACCAAGCCGGGCCTCCAGGCTGCTCTCAGTTCAGTTGGAAGTCTGATGGCGCCACCTAGTGTTCCTCGCTGGAAATGGCGCAACGGATACAGGAACACATCCATGCGTAAAGGCGCACTGGAGTCTCCGCAATCGTCCTCAGAACATCTGCAGATGCCTTCAGGTTTTTACAGCAACAAAACAGCTCTGCAGCCAACAAAAACCTGTGGTTCTCACACACTCGAGGCTTCGCTTTTCGCTCTTCTGTCCTCTAAAACCTGCTCAGAGGAAGAAACATTCGGCTCACTTAAAAAGTAGTCGGGTCATATCTGAACTAATAAAATGCTGCAAGCAAACCAGACATTTGGGTTTTATGTCACAATAGAATTTACACTAAACCGCCAACAGATGTTTAAATTTCACAAACGATCCAACTTCAGCCTTTAACCAGAATTTACACCCCGATTTTTTATTATGAATTTAAAATCGTCCAGGTTCACAGCAGCAACATGCTATGGTTAGTTTGTTTTACCGGTTCACTTAAAATCAAACTAAATAAACCAACTATCATGGACTAGTTATGATGTAACGGACTTCTGGACATCACATTTTAGGCCTTAACGTATTTGAGCGTTTTCATTCGGTTCCTTCCCGCGATACAAGTTTAAATGTTGACAAGTCTTAAGACACCCGAGGCCTGTTTAGTTCACTGACCTTTAAAAATCCACCTTAAATGGGTCGTTAAATAAGCACGTTAACAATTTTACACAAGATGAGGCTCAGAAAGTAAAAACTAAGCTTTTGATGCAAGCGTTTAACAAATATCTGGAAATCTGGAGTTTTAAAAGCAGGAACTTAGGTAGCAGGACAGACTGGTGACCATCCAGATTCATTTATCAGGTTTTAAATGAAGGCTTTTTGTTTAACAGACTAGCACGTCTGTCAGGCTCAAAGTCAATGTCAGATCAGTCAGCCAGTCAATAATTGGCACCCCCTGGAGGCTGAGTAACACCAGCCTCCAAGGGGTGCCGTCTGCAGGACACAAACAATTTCAGTCTGCACCTCAGAAGGAATCAGTGGATGCAGCAAAAAACTGTTCAGCTTGGGGGAAACCACAAAGAGGCTACTGCTTCTTTTGCTCGAGCCCTGATTCAAACGGAGTCCAGAATCTGCTCAACATCATCTATTCCATCAAGATTGTTAATGAAAATTGCAGTTTAACAGCTGAAGATCTCTAGGATTGTTTCACACAACCACATTACAGTTCCTGTCTGATCAGCTCATCAGCTGAGTGAGAGCACCTGTCTGCAGGACACAAGCAAATCAGTCTGCACCTCAGAAGGAATCAGCGGATGCAGCAAAAAAACTGTTCAGCTGGGGGGAAACCACAAAGAGGCTACTGGTATGATACTGACAACATTCTACTGTTGAATAAAGTTAAATGAAATTACCTGCTTAGGAATAAAGTTAAATGAAATTACCTGCTTGGATTTAAAATAGTATTTGAAATGCAGTGGATGATACATTATTTGGACTGTAAATTTAAAATCAGCATTATTAGATTTATTCATTTTGATTGTAATTGTATAAATCTGTTTCTGTTTGAAGGTTTTCAACCTGATTACCTTATTACCTGATTTACCTCAAATAAACCGAGAAGAGGAAATGAGTTGTTTCCTAGCTTACTTTTGTGATGGATCAAGTCTTTTTCAAGATTGGACAGAAGCTGAACAGGGAGAAACTTGGCAACGTCCTTGCAGTAATTCATGAGTATAACATTAGATGTTTGTGTAACGGACTCGCTTTAGCGAGCATTTAGACATGGATGAAATCAGAATAGTTTGCTGTCAGGCACAGACCAAAATAAAATCAAATGACAAACCAAAGGGATACATGGAGCTACGCCTGGCTGCAGCACAAATGAACGTGTACGTTTTCATCAGAAACACTTAATTAACCTCACTGAGCTGTTCGTCTCTTGGTGACATCCAAATAAAACAAGTTTCGACAGATTTGGGTTGTGTGTGTATGTGTGTTAGATCTCTTTGAACTGGCCACACACACACGCACGCACACACACACACACACGGTATCCCCGCCTCCCGCCACACGGATGTGCCTTCACAGCAGAAGGTCAAGGAGGAAGAGTCATGAGGGACAGGGGGACGTGCACTCATTTAAAAAATTTGTTTACAACTTTCAGATTAGCAAACATTGGCGTGCACCCACCCGCCCGCCCACACACACACACACACACACACACACACACACACACACACACAATAATCCACTGAGCATTTGGGTCAGATTAGATAAAATGTCATAGCGGGACACTCACTTGAGCTTTAAACATTTTACTTAAAAAGGCACAAACTATGATTTCCTGGTAAATTATCTTTGATGTAAGAAATAAAAATCAAAATTTTTTTTCCTTTTTTCAAAAAAAAAAAATCAACTTTTTTCAGCCATAACTCAAATAAAAGCGTTGAAGGACTCTTCCTACATTAGTCTTTATTTAGTTGGCTTTTTACTTTTAAACCTAAACTTGTCCACTGTAATTGGGTCTTTTCTTCCAAAAGTGCAATAGAAATAAGAGAGCTTAATATGCGTTTCTCTGGTTCTTCCACAGTACCTGAGGCCAGTGACTGTGCTACAACGACCGTGTCCAAAGACCAAAAGGAAAGAAACTGAACTCCAGAACACTATAACATGAAAGCAAGTTTTCAGTTCAGGGATTTGACTTTTAAAACCGAGGATTCACTTACAAAAACAAAAAAAAATTAAAAAAAAAAAAAAAAAGGAAAAAAGTACATAAAAATCTTCCAAATTCAGTTTTATAGATTAAATGCTTCCTGTGTCTTTCAGATTGAACATCAGCATAGTTCAACTCTTCTTCTTTACCTTGATCCCCAAAAACAAAAACAAAAAAACACCAAAATTAAAAAGTATGAAAATGAACAGTTTCCTAGAGAGCAGATTTCTTTCACTCCGTCCACTTAAATGGTTTCCCCTGATCAACAGCTGACTGAAACAATAAACGTTCTGAATGGAATCTAGAATACAACTGCTTCAAACAGCATCTTTTTTCATTTCCACGCCACAGTATCGGAGTTTCATTGTTACAGCTTTTATAGTTTTTCTCAAGCCCCTGTTTGTGAAGCAAGGTGCGCTTATTTTTCAGCGATAAAAGAATCAAAGAGTCTCTTGTGGAGTCAGTAGGTCTGCAACATTCCTTCAACTCGGCTGTAGCCCTGGAGCACTGAGAACGAGAAATACAGAGCGCGCGGGAGAAGGAGGGATGGAGGCGTGGTGATGATAGGGAGGCGAGAGGGAGAGGCCTCGGGGAGGAGGGGAGTTTGTGTAGTTGCTTCAATTTAAAACTTGACAGTGACCACAATGTTTCAAGTTCTCTCCATGTTCCTCCTTCACTTGTGCCTCTGGAGAGCTTTCCTCTTTCTCCTTCTGAAGAAACAACAGCACCTGCAGAGCAGAACATCACACTGAGAGGGATTCACATTTACAGCTTCACATGCGTACTCTGTTAAATGTCCAAAGTTCAGATGGCTTTTCTTTACATTTTTCATTCAGGAAGTCAAATGAGTGTATCTGAGTTTTTGTGATTAACTGAATTTGAAAGATAAACCAGAAAACGGCACAAAAGCCCAGCAAACACAGAACCTTAATGTAGCCTAAAGACATTAAAGCTGGGGCAGAGCTTCAAATGTAAAATTTAAAAAGCTTAAAGTTGGCTATTTTTATATTATATCTTATCCCTAAGTCACTCCCCTGGCCTCAGAAGCAAAACAAATCAGGCGCTTCAGTCAGCTTAGCACACCTACCTAGCTTGAATGCTAACTCAACCTGCATTGCATTAATGTCAGTCTTTTAACTTTAAGCTAAAGGTGGAAGATGAGGGAAGGTAACAAAAAGCTGTTTGTCTTTGTGTGTTGGAGCTAAGTTATTAGCGTTTTAGCCTGTTGTAGTGTTAGCAGGCGTGCGCTAGCAACACAAGTGCCAGCTTCCTGCTGGTTTTAGTTGCTTCCCTGCTTGAAAACTGCAGATTTGATTAAAATGAATGTTTAGCAGCTCCTGCAGAAGCCGATGTAGGCTGAGGAGGGAATTTGAGAACTCAGGCGAGGTTTGATGTGTGGCTTCCAGATAGGAAATGGGAGCAGGGAGCTGTCCAGATTTCTAACTCTCCTCCTCCCTTTTGATGATGTCACGTTACAGACTCCAGCTTTAAAGAAAGTCAGATTAAGATGAGTAATTGAACATGAATTACTTTATAAACAACATGTAAACTACAGAAAGTTACTTCATAAAATAATTCAATTGGCCTATTTAAATAAATCAGATCAACTTGATGCTTTTCACAGCAACACTGACTAACAGTTCTGTGTTGTAATACCAAAATTCTTTTGAGGAATCTTAGTGATGAAGAAAAAATTTTAAATCGACTCAAAAATGCACACAACATAAATTGGGTGTAAAATTACTGCTAAATCTGGAATCCTTCCTGTGCTCCAACCCATCAGTACACCGTACCACAGAAGATCAAATGATTTATTTCATACTTGGGTTCGTCTGCCACTTCTACATCGGTGGGAGCAGTGATGGGAGCGTTGGAGTGTCCGGCTGTGGGATCATCTGGGTTTAGCTCTCCGTTCGTTGAGCTCATCACCTGCAGCGTTGAAAAAACACCACAAATGCCTCTCAGATCAGCCGTTTCCCATCGCCACTGGGCTGAACCAACTACAGCAACGTCACAGTTTAGAGACACTCCCACATATCACAATTCTTCCCAGATGAATACTGAACGAGGTTTTACTTGCTGCCATGATTCCTCCTGTTCAGGGCAACTCCTTACAGACTTCTATTACTACGTTCTTTTAATGCATTGACAATTTCCAAAAAGATAATCAACGCAGGTGTATGGGTGAGCTTTAAGACAAAAACTTTAGATAATACCAACTTAATGCTTGTTATCGTTTTATGACACTTGTTCATAAAAACATTATTCAAAAGTTGAATGAACAAGAGGAACAACAAGAAAAACCTGTTTTGACGGCAGTGAAAACACAAATGAGCAAATCGCTTTTAAAAGCTACAGTTCTACTTTCTGACACTAGGTGGCAGATTTGCGCCACTGAAAAAAACAGACCTCTGATTTAAAGATCAAGAAAAATAATTAAATGCCTGATAGGTGTTTCCTTTTCTCACTAATAGAAACACAACGAGCAACAGCATCTACTCAGGTTGTGTTTTTCTAATTATTTAAATAAGTACGGGGTTTAAATAATGCTTGATGTCTTATTGAAAGCAGCCTACAAGCAGCATGCAGCGCTCTGAAAACAAAACAAGAGTTCTAGGATTCTAATGCAAACACACAAAAAAGCAGGCAATGTGGAGTCAGTGAGAAGGGGGAGTCACGTCACAACTTTACATGGATGCATGCATCAGCAATCAGAGCAGCAGCAGAAGCAGCAGTGGTGGTGGTACCTGAACAGAGCCCCCCAGCCGCTCAGCCGTGAGGTGCGACCCCAGAGTCTCCTTATTGGTCACGGGAGTGGGCTGAGACTCACTTCCTTTGGGCTCAGATGACTTGACACAGAGCAAAAAGGGTTGAGGCAGGAAGTGGTGAGAAAAGGGGCGGAAGTGGGGGTTGCAGGTGAGGTGATGATGTGGAGGGGGGAAGGGGGTGGTAAGGAAGGAGGTGCAGATAGAGGGGAGATAACAAGGAGGAGAGGGAGTGAATAAAAACAAAAATTATAGAAGACATCTCCCAAGCAGAAGCAGGCTTGTTAAGACAAACTATGTTAATAGAGGATTAAAGGGAAGCAAAAATGTATGTAAAGCACAGATCGACACTAATAAAGTCATGCAGAAGTAAAAGAAAACAGCCTTGATCATCTCAGCTAATATTGTATACTGGATTAATAAAACAGAAATGTATCAAACAGAAAATCGCTTTGTGCTTCAAACAAGAATTTACAGAACTGTTCTTTGTTTTTATTTAATCTAAAGACATTTACTTATATTTAAAAGCCTCACTCACAAATAGGACACTGATTCCACTACGTTCTTGTTGAAAGGTGGACTGCTTTAATCAGGATGTAACTGGTTTCCAGTCCTAAACCAGTGTACACAGAACACAGGGAGGTGTTTTGGCAGCATTAAAAGATGGCAAGTTGTTACCAAGCCAATCCCATCAAACGCAGCGCAGTAAAACAGGGATAAAGTCCACTGTAGTAAGTCAGTTATAAAATCAAACGCTGTCCCCTCCTCAGCTTTACGGGACATGAGTCACCTTATCTGCACCATTATTTGTGTCAATCAGACATATTTCCTTTCTTCATAAACTCACTAATTAGCCTCTCCCTGCACCAAACAAGGCTCGGATAGCATGCTGTTCAAACAAAACATCTACACTTTGGCACACGCTAAGCAGTTACCTTGTCATTACTGGTATGAACAATGCAATTTGCATTTTCAACTCATGCACGCAATGACTAGAGCTTAGAGTGGCAAATGTGTCAAGAACTACTTAAAACCATAAATGCTGCTTTGCTTCCCAGCTGGAGTCACCTTCATGTCTGCACATGCCAGGATGATACTCTCGTTTTTATTAGAGTGGTTGTCTGATAAGGACTCTGAAGAGAGCTGAGACCATGACCCGCGGTCATTTTTCCAGGAAGTTGCTGATAGAACAGTAAATGAACTTGAACAACCAGGTTGTCTGATTGGTCAGTCAGGCTGGGTGTGGAGCCCGTTGATGAACTCACCTGGGTTTTCTGAGGTTGTGGTTTGCTGGGCTGCAGAGGCGCGTCACTGGGGATGGGGCCTATCGGTGTGGGCTGAGATACCAAGAGGAAAAGGAAACCAGTTTAGAAGTAAGATTTTTATCAAAACAATCACTGCTGACAGTCATTATTCAGCAGTAGAAATGACACCTAATGCCCAAACAAAGGAAGTGTGAGGTAGGGCTGGACGATATAGAACAAAAGTATATTGATAACAATTTTTTATATTGATCAATATCAATAACTATTGAAAAATTGATAAAATGGCCTTAAAGCACCTTGGAACCCCCCAAGGCGCTTTACAAAACAATCAGTCATTCAACCATTCGCACACACATTCATCAGAGTTTCTGCAGAAATCAGCAAAACAAATTTAATGCTTTTTAATGCCATTTTAATGCCATTTTTAACCTTTTTAATGCCATAAACAAACACGTGAGAATCCACGGATATATATGTACATAAAAAAAAATCCTCTGAGAACTCAATGTATTATAATGTACCCTGAGATAAACAAAAAAATGTATGCCTAGAACATAGCAAATACATAGTTGCATGGAATGTTACATGTTATTGAACATGCTACAGCATTTTTTTCACACAACAGGATTAATGCATGTGCCTTAGCTCACTAGTTTTTGATTCCAGCTCTGACTCAACATTTGTCAGTTCACTGCATTTGTCCCTGTATCTCTTCCTTAGAGTATTAGATTTTGTTATCATTTGAGCCATGAGCGTGCTCGGTTTGTTTTCTGCCTGTTCAGCTAGTTGATCAGCATCTTTCTGAAGGCTGACACACACCACCCTTAATATCTCCTTTTTCTTTTTCAGCTGTTCTAGCTCATCTTCCAACGCTTTTCTCTTAAGTCCACGCATGGCACCCTCTCTCTTTTGTCTCTCTTCCTCAAGGTAGATCCTATATCTAGTCCTGGCTGATGCTACAGATGCTAGTAGCTCTTTTGTGAGGGGAACTTTGAGAACCCCCCCACAAGCTCTAACTTGGTCACAGACTAGTCTTTGGGCCTCAACAGTTTCTTCTTTTATGTTGCAAGCCTCTACTTCCCTGTTCACAGAGAAGCCTCTCTCTACTGTAGCTTGCCCATGAGATAGGAGCAACAGGCGCTGAAGGAAACTCCAGAGTTCAGGATAAGTCTGGTTGAGAGCGTCACGAAGAAAAACATCAAGTCTTTGCTCCATGGGTTTGAAAGAGAGGAGCTCCTCACTTTTGCCATGCAGAGAGAGAAAGCTGTCAAACTGCTGCACAACAGCATCACCTGCAACAAGCAAACACAAAAAGCAGTAATTAAATCTAATCCACTTAAATGGATGGACAGTTATTCAGACATCACATTGGTACAGGATATGTAAACGTTTTGTGTGTGTGTGTGTGTGTGTGTGTGTGTATATATATATATATATATATATATATATATATATATATATATATATATCATGCAACATGTGCATTAAAATAACTTGATCAACAATAAAAAGCAAAACTGTTTTTAAACCTTAGAATGTACTGAGAATATTTCTCATGCATTAAAGGGTGGTCATAACCTTTATTTTAAAGCATTCCCTATAACATTCCTACCAGCAGAAATCCCTCCTGTCAACTGCTCGTCCTGCAGAAATCTCTGAACTAGAGACTTCATCTTTCCCATGCACCATTCTGGGTCTCTGCTCATGATGGAGGGGTCCAAGCATGCAATCTGCCTGACAGTGGGGTATTTCAAAGGGCTCTTCTCTTGCACTTTCTTAACAATGCTTGAGAGGCATCTTATGCAGTCCTTTCTAAATTCGAGGGCAGTGAGGTCACCTACTCTGTTGTTAGGTTTGCTTTGAAGAGCCTACCAAGGAGGGATAGCATCGAGTAATTAATGCATAGGGAATTAATGCACTGTTTTAAGTTTTTTTTAAAAATATACATATAAAAAATAAACAATACCTTAATGGCAGACTCAGCACCCAAGCCTATGTCAACATACCTATGTCTTGAATGAAT